TAATAAGGCATAAAAACGTCAAAAAACGTCATAATATATATCGTAAGGCATAAAAACGTCAAAAAACGGCATAGTATACTAAGGCATAAAAACGTCAAAAAGCGGCATAGTATGCTAAGGCATATAAATGTCAAAAAACTTCATAGTATAATAAGGCATAAAAACATCATAAAATTTCATAGCATTGAAAGACATAGTATAGTAAGGCATAAAAACATCAAAAAACGGCATAGTATAATAAGGCATATAAATGTCAAAAAACTTCATAGTATAGTAAGGCATTGTATAGTAAGGCATGAAAACATCAAAAAACGTTATAGTATACCAAGGCATAAAAACGTCAAAAAACCTCATAGTATAGTAAGGCATAGTATAGTAAGGCATACTTCATAGTATAATACGGCATAAAAAATCATAAAATGTCATAGCATAGTAAGGCATAGTATAGTCAGGCATAAAAATGTCAAAAAAGGCATAATATAGTAAGACATAAAAATTTCAAAAGACTTCATAGTATAATACGGCATAAAAAATCATAAAATGTCATAGCATAGTAAGGCATAGTATAGTCAGGCATAAAAATGTCAAAAAAGGCATAATATAGTAAGACATAAAAATTTCAAAAGACTTCATAGTATAATACGGCATAAAAAATCATAAAATGTCATAGCATAGTAAGGCATAGTATAGTCAGGCATAAAAATGTCAAAAAAGGCATAATATAGTAAGACATAAAAATTTCAAAAGACTTCATAGTATAATACGGCATAAAAAATCATAAAATGTCATAGCATAGTAAGGCATAGTATAGTCAGGCATAAAAATGTCAAAAAAGGCATAATATAGTAAGACATAAAAATTTCAAAAGACTTCATAGTATAATACGGCATAAAAAATCATAAAATGTCATAGCATAGTAAGGCATAGTATAGTCAGGCATAAAAATGTCAAAAAAGGCATAATATAGTAAGACATAAAAATTTCAAAAGACTTCATAGTATAATACGGCATAAAAAATCATAAAATGTCATAGCATAGTAAGGCATAGTATAGTCAGGCATAAAAATGTCAAAAAAGGCATAATATAGTAAGACATAAAAATTTCAAAAGACTTCATAGTATAATACGGCATAAAAAATCATAAAATGTCATAGCATAGTAAGGCATAGTATAGTCAGGCATAAAAATGTCAAAAAAGGCATAATATAGTAAGACATAAAAATTTCAAAAGACTTCATAGTATAATACGGCATAAAAAATCATAAAATGTCATAGCATAGTAAGGCATAGTATAGTCAGGCATAAAAATGTCAAAAAAGGCATAATATAGTAAGACATAAAAATTTCAAAAGACTTCATAGTATAATACGGCATAAAAAATCATAAAATGTCATAGCATAGTAAGGCATAGTATAGTCAGGCATAAAAATGTCAAAAAAGGCATAATATAGTAAGACATAAAAATTTCAAAAGACTTCATAGTATAATACGGCATAAAAAATCATAAAATGTCATAGCATAGTAAGGCATAGTATAGTCAGGCATAAAAATGTCAAAAAAGGCATAATATAGTAAGACATAAAAATTTCAAAAGACTTCATAGTATAATACGGCATAAAAAATCATAAAATGTCATAGCATAGTAAGGCATAGTATAGTCAGGCATAAAAATGTCAAAAAAGGCATAATATAGTAAGACATAAAAATTTCAAAAGACTTCATAGTATAATACGGCATAAAAAATCATAAAATGTCATAGCATAGTAAGGCATAGTATAGTCAGGCATAAAAATGTCAAAAAAGGCATAATATAGTAAGACATAAAAATTTCAAAAGACTTCATAGTATAATACGGCATAAAAAATCATAAAATGTCATAGCATAGTAAGGCATAGTATAGTCAGGCATAAAAATGTCAAAAAAGGCATAATATAGTAAGACATAAAAATTTCAAAAGACTTCATAGTATAATACGGCATAAAAAATCATAAAATGTCATAGCATAGTAAGGCATAGTATAGTCAGGCATAAAAATGTCAAAAAAGGCATAATATAGTAAGACATAAAAATTTCAAAAGACTTCATAGTATAATACGGCATAAAAAATCATAAAATGTCATAGCATAGTAAGGCATAGTATAGTCAGGCATAAAAATGTCAAAAAAGGCATAATATAGTAAGACATAAAAATTTCAAAAGACTTCATAGTATAATACGGCATAAAAAATCATAAAATGTCATAGCATAGTAAGGCATAGTATAGTCAGGCATAAAAATGTCAAAAAAGGCATAATATAGTAAGACATAAAAATTTCAAAAGACTTCATAGTATAATACGGCATAAAAAATCATAAAATGTCATAGCATAGTAAGGCATAGTATAGTCAGGCATAAAAATGTCAAAAAAGGCATAATATAGTAAGACATAAAAATTTCAAAAGACTTCATAGTATAATACGGCATAAAAAATCATAAAATGTCATAGCATAGTAAGGCATAGTATAGTCAGGCATAAAAATGTCAAAAAAGGCATAATATAGTAAGACATAAAAATTTCAAAAGACTTCATAGTATAATACGGCATAAAAAATCATAAAATGTCATAGCATAGTAAGGCATAGTATAGTCAGGCATAAAAATGTCAAAAAAGGCATAATATAGTAAGACATAAAAATTTCAAAAGACTTCATAGTATAATACGGCATAAAAAATCATAAAATGTCATAGCATAGTAAGGCATAGTATAGTCAGGCATAAAAATGTCAAAAAAGGCATAATATAGTAAGACATAAAAATTTCAAAAGACTTCATAGTATAATACGGCATAAAAAATCATAAAATGTCATAGCATAGTAAGGCATAGTATAGTCAGGCATAAAAATGTCAAAAAAGGCATAATATAGTAAGACATAAAAATTTCAAAAGACTTCATAGTATAATACGGCATAAAAAATCATAAAATGTCATAGCATAGTAAGGCATAGTATAGTCAGGCATAAAAATGTCAAAAAAGGCATAATATAGTAAGACATAAAAATTTCAAAAAACTTCATAGTATAATACGGCATAAAAAATCATAAAATGTCATAGCATAGTAAGGCATAGTATAGTATAGCATAAAAACGTCAAAAAACATCATACTATAGTAAGGCATAGTATAGTAAGGCATAGTATAGTAAGGCATAAAAATGTCAAAAAACGTTATAGTATAATAAGGCATAAAAACATCATAAAATTTCATAGCATTGTAAGGCATAGTATAGTAAGGCATAAAAACTCAAAGAACTTCATAGTATAGTAAGGCATAGTATAATAAGGCATAAAAACGTCAAAAAATGTCATACTATAGTAAGGCATAGTAAAGTAAGGCATAAAAATGTCAAAAAACGTCATAGTATAATAAGGCATAAAAACATCAAAAAATTTCATAGCATTGTAAGGCATAGTATAGTAAGGCATAAAATTGTTAAAAAAAAAAACTCATAGTATAATAAGGCATGAAAACATCAAATAATTTCATAGAATTGTAAGGCATAGTATAGTGAGGCATAAAAATGTCAAAAAACGGCATAGTATAATAAGGCATAAAAACATCAAAAAACGTCATACTATAGTTAAGCATAAAAACGTCATAGTATAGTAAGGTATAAAAATGTCAAAAAACATAATAGTATAGTAAGAACCAGGATTCAAACCATAAACCTCCTGAATGCTAAGTGATGGTGCTAACCATTCTACCACCTTATATAGTCATACTATACTAAGGTATAAAAACTTTATAGTATAGTAAGGCATAAAATGCATAAAACGTCATAGTATAGTAAGGAATAAAAACATCATAAAACGTCATAGTATAATAAGGCAAAGGATAGTAAAACATAAAAACGTTAAAAACACATCATAGTATAGTAAGGCATAAAAACTTCATAAAATGTCATAGTATAGTATAGTATAGTAAAGCATAGTATAGTAAGGCATAAAAATGTCAAAAAACGTCATTGTATAACAAGGTATAAAAAAACATCAAAAAATTTCATAGTATAGTAAGGCATAAAAACATTATAGTACAGTAAGGCATAAAAAAGTCATGGGATTTTTCGACGGCCTGGTCTATGGAGGACTTAAGCTGTGGGTCACCAGCTGTGACCGCCGTCGTATCGCAAAACCGGCCCCTGTTGCCTCGCAACCTTGACAACACGAAACTTTTTTACAGAAAAACTTTCAAGGCCCGTGGCTTTAACTGTTGTACCATTGGTTTTTGAATCGAGCTTAAACACAATACTTACATATAAAAGTGGCTCTCTGTCGGTGTGGTTTGCTTTCTTTACCGGCGCGCAATGAATCTTGGGATGTCTGGGAAGAAGGCTGTATTTGTAGGCCGCATTTGAAGGAGCCTTCGAAGCTACTGATACAGAACCTGAATTGGGACACAGCTGTAGCCTCTTGGAGGGCTCATGGTAATGATCTAATATGACTTCACTCCAAACATAGTTCGAACGAGTTCACTCAAATATTGGTAGAGACAATTCTGTCTTCCCAAAATATTGGTAGGGACATGCCCCTACCGTCCATAAGCAAACCTCTATGCAAAGCTATAGCCTATACTCATGCTTTAACCACAGGAGGAAAATAATCACCACAGCCCACTGGATTCTGTTTTTTTGCCCCTAGTGTCTGTAGTAAGTGTGTGTTGTAGGGTTTCCAACTTCACTTTTATTGTAGGCTATGGATGACAGTAATACTTTCTGATAATTGATCATAGGTTTATTGTTACAAGCAGGTTTAATATTCAACTTCACTGTTCACATTTAAATTAGAGACAAATCCTTTATCAACAGAAACAAAAAACTGCATGACATGGTTTATAAAGTGATCCTGAGAGGCCTACACCTCTGTGGTCCATGTGAGAGCGAAGTGGAGGCTGGTGCGGGTAGGGAGGGATGAGAGAGAGAGAGAGAGAGAGAGAGACTGGGAGAGAGAGAGAGAAAGGACGGTGCGCGCTCAGGCAGGACAGGAGGGCGCGCGGGACATCAGCACACCGGCCGGGTCAAGGAGCTGCAAGGATGGAGATCCGACCAGACAGGTTTAAGGCGGCCGCGGGCAAAACTCTGGGGAAAATTCACAGGTACCCACCTATTTCAAATATCCCTGACCCCCACCTCTGACTTCTCCTCGTTTTCACGCGTTTGTTGAGGATAGTTTCGGTCTGCGGGGAACTGCAGATTATTCTGCTGCGAGGTCCCATCCTCTCTCCTCCAACCGGTAACTGTCCAGTGGAGTAAAAGTTTGTTCCTTATTGATTTTAACTGACTGTTGGATATAAGCAGCAAACATTATGCCGGTATAGCGGTAAAAGTCCAGCTTTGCGCAGCGCACAATGCAGTGATTGGACTGAAAGAAGTAGATGTAAAATGCTGCAAGAGATGGATCTTTGAAACTCATTTCATGGAGAGTTTGTTTTTTGGAAATGTGCGGTGAAAGTGCAGTGACCTGTAGGACTTCAGTCTTTTTGTTAATGCTTCGTTCCCTTCCGTTGCCCACTTTTCTTTTTAGAAATCACGAATGATGCTGCTGTCTCTGGATCTCGTATCATCCAGTTTATTTGTTTGTTTATTTGTTTGTCTGTTTGTTTCTTCTTGTCAGATTTGTCCGAGCTCAAAGTAGACTGAGCATATTGGTGTTTCAGACTAGAGAAAGTGTGGTTACGTAATACTTCCGTGCGTTATTGGTCCGACCTGGCTGAATGAGAGGGCTGACCAGATGGAGGCATATCCTAAATTAACCGTCAAAGCCCCTACATCTATCTATCTATCTATCTATCTATCTATCTATCTATCACATGTTACACGGCACTGGTGACTATCATCATATGTATAAGACAGTGAACTTGAGTGTTAGGGTCCAATGACAAGAAATGAAATGACAATGAGTGGACTGATTGGTTAGTCACTAAACAGAAACTTCATCAGCAACTATTTCAATACTCATTTGTTTTTCATTTATTTTCAACCAAAAATACCAAACATTTAGTTCTATTCAGTTCAGTTCAATTTAGAATACTTTATATGCCATGCCAATTTGAGGTAAATGAGTTTGCCAACAAAAGCACACATAGATGATTTATTTAAACACATGAAAATTATCCAAAAACACAAATGTTAGAAAGAGTTTATATATTTACAGAACAGGATTTATAAAAGGGGCCAGTCGATAGCTGGCCAACAGTGTCCAACACCACAAAGGCACATATGACATTAAAAAGCAGAAGTCAAAAGTGCAAGCATCATTCTATACACAAGGTAAACTGACCATTTCTTTATGGCTCTTCACAACTCTAATGGTTTCAGGAAGAAAACATCTCAGTTTTGAGGTTTTGCTTCTTTTGTCTGACATGATTGAAAATGTAACATCTTTGCCTAGTGGAAAAAACAAACAATCTGAAGATGTGACCTTGAACTGTAGGAAATTCTGGTGGACATTTATTATCATTCCCTGATATTTTTTCTGCAATAATTGCAGCGCTGTAATATAAAGAAATCTGTACATCTTTACCACCTGTACAGCCTTTGTATGATACATACAGTGGCTCTTTGAGATAGTTTACGAAGTAGCAGATCTTGACAAGTATATGTCTGTACCAGTGTATTTTTTAAAGCAAAGATTAACATATATAACTGCAGTCTTTGATTATAAATGTGATAAAGTGCTGGATATATGTAAATAAATTGCATGTCAACACAAAAGTTACAATACAGGTTGGTGTGTAGACAATATTTCAGTAAAAAAGAGAGATTAAAGACACTGATAGAACCTCATGCAATAACCCTTGCTTTAAGCTTTCACTCTCTCAGGATTTGAGGTAGCAACCAAACGTATAAATCCCGTCCTGAAATAGCCTGTTTTTCAGTCCAGCTGTCGAGCCACGCAAATCCCTAAACTCTCCCCTCCCACTCACTCCATCCCAGCCCATGTCACTTCCTCCAGCCGCTCCCTCCTCCTCCTCCTCCTCCTCCTCCATCATCCATCTTCCATCCTCCATCCATTCATCCATCCACTGAGAGACCAGAACAGACAACTTTGCGCCTATCGGAGTCACGCAGATTAACAGACATGCAAAATCTCAGGCTTTGTCTCTCTTACTGGTCGTGAGCCATGCATGTGCACGGTCATAGCTGATGCTATGAGAGATGTGATGTATCGGATTGGAGTCAGATTGGTTGTAGTGGGCGTTTCCTCAGCTTAGCGAGTGAACTCTGGTTTTATGAGGCCACAGTGTAAAGTACAAGCAATGGTTTCCAAAGCAAAAGTGAACATTTAGTTCAAATTGATGTGAAAAATGTATTTTTTTAGGTGTGCTTGTGTGTATGTTTAAATGTGTGCATTAGAGCATCCCTTCCTGTGTGAGTATGAGTGTGCCTGTGTGCAATCTCACCACCTCACAGACAAAATCGTGATCCCTCCTGATGAAAGCAGCCAGGAGTTCATCTATTATTTAAACATTTTCTCCATCAGAATGCATCTCCTGTTTCTATATTAAACTCCACTAGGTAAGCATAAACTTCAGCACTGTAAGGTCAAGTACACTCTACATCTCTCCTCTGACTATTCACTCTTATAACATCTTGAAATAAATGGTCAAAAATGTAAATCTTTTTCATCTCCTTGTGTCGGGGAACTACATGAAACATGATCATACAGATTCATGCTTCATGTGAAATTCTAAAAGTTTCTAATAGCATCCCACTGACATTTTGCATCTCATAAAAATACCACATATATTTATTAAAAGATTTTTAAACGAATCTGCAGGATTGCATGGCTACACAAGGAGAGCTTATGTTTTCATTTTCTAATCCATTTTTAATCAATTTTACTTGTGACATTACACAGTGGTCTGAAAGGTGGTTTAAATAAAATATTCAAATAGAAATGACAGGAAATTATAGCTTTTTTTTTACCATGTTGGCTTTGGCAAACTGCAAGAACTGCAAACATTTTTGGCCTATTTTAATCACACATTCTTGAGAAGTATTGTCATTGTATTATATATAACACTATGTTCTTGAAATTAATATTTCAAATACACCCAGAGATGAAGCAGCTTTCCTACTTGGTTCTCCTTCTCTGTGTATGTGCAAACTCAGATTCGTTTCTGGATGAACGAGGGGTTCGTAGCACATCTTTTCAGAAACCTTTGAAATCTAATATTGTAGCTGACTTACCTTAGTCACTATTACACAACACAGTGTAGGTGGTCTGAGAGCCAGAGGTAAATATTTTCATGATAACAGAAAAAAAAAACAGACCAGTGAAAACCAAAGCTTAGGAAAAACATATGAATATCTCACATCAATCAAAGGATTGTGATGATTAATCACAGTGAATATGACAACTGCAGTGATAAAATTAAAGCTACTGGACTGGTTGTTAAGCCTAAAGATGATGATTCTGCTGGCAATCATTGTAGTAGAGGCAGGACAACATCATTCAGCAGTGGGAGAGGGCAGGATAATTTTGGACACTGACAGAAATGAAAAAGACAGACACCAAAAATACTGCGTTTGCGACACTACAGCTTGTGTTCTCCATCTTTATATTTTGTCTGTCTGTCAGTCTAGTGCGTTTCTTTGCCTGTGTTGTTGTTGTGTGGGGGTGTCTACATGTAGTCTATGGAAAGGTCTTCATAGATTATGTAGTTTGGAATAACTCAGCATGCCTTGTTATTGGCAGCAATGCTGTTTATATCCAAGATGTGTTTCCGTTACTTCTGTGTGTTGTTGGGTTTGAGTTTAAAAACTTTAAAAAAAAAAAAAGAGAGAAATATCTTATTATATCTTAATATGAAATGTTATGATCATGTTGTGACCCAGCTCAGTTTGTCATTTACTGTTTGGTAAAGGTAACGAGAAGTGTGTGTTTGTGTGTGAGTGCATATGCAGTCAGCGCTCACAAAGTGATTGAGTTTTACTATGAGAGTATTTAGATAATAAGTCTATGAAGGTCACACGTGTGTGTGTTTGAATGTCGTGTGTGTGTGTGTGTGTGTGTGTGTGCGTGTCCACAGGAGAGAGAGAAAAAAAAGTGGTGTGACAGGATGGGGAGGAGGGTGTCTCCCTGGGTGACACAGTCCCACTGAGACCCAATCTGTTCACTTCAGGGAGAGTGAGAGGCTCATGGAGGAAGGGGGAGACACCACTATCAAAACTACAAAGCAACTGAAGTAATTTCAATATAAAAATTAAAAAAAAAAAATCCTAAAGCTAGCACCCACACTTCCAAACATCTGACCTACAACTAGAGGGCGAATGAGGGTGAAATCTTTTTTAGACATGAGGAGTGAAGTGGGTGGGCTGACATGGGGAAAGACAAGCATGGTTTACATGCAGCACAATGGAGGATCAATCAGCACACGTATTTGGACAAATAATGAGCAGGGCTTCTAGCGTTATATAATATTTTTACTGTCCACCTCCCTCGCTGTCTCTCTCTCTGTCTCTATCATCCTCTTATGAGAGGATTACGCAGAACGCTCTGTGAATTGGTGAATTTAATATACAGAGTAACAAAACTCCCAGGTCACCAACCAGCACGTGAGAGTCACAGTTTTATTTTTGTCATAGCCGTGTATTATTGTAAAATCTCAAATTAGGCAAAATTCTAAATATTTCATAGCAAAGGTGGACAACTATTATTAAGGGAAGGAAAGTTGGTGTAGAGTTGTATGAGCTCCATGCAGGTCTTTCCATTCACCTCCTTATTAAAAGAAACAATGATGGTCTGTCATACTGGCTGTAAATTTAGGGAGTGTCATGTTAAATATGAATAAATAATCTGTAGTTGATGGGGAACACATTGTGTTTTGGGGTGCACAGTGAATGCAGTGAATTCAATACTTAATAAAATTTTCAATTATTCTCTTATATTATAGATAGGTAAGATATGCTAAAAACATCTCAACTAAATCAAAGAGTTAAGTCTTGTGTGTAAAGGCATTGAAGTCCTTTTCTTTATTTTTTGTAGACTGAATCACTTTAATTGACTTTGTCAGGTTGAGTTTGTACATTTGTTAGGTTGAACTTTGCTTCTTGTGCTCAGGTGGAAAGCACAGATATGAGCTCAGTTAGAGGTGTGAATAGTTGCAGTGTCTCCACTGAGCCTGTTACTATTGTAATTATGATATTTCAGAGAGCCTGAGGTCACGGGACTCCTGCCTGCTCATGCTCTCTGGCTCATTAATTGTTGCCAGCTGAGACCAATCAGGTCCTCGCTAAGCTAACAAGAGAAGCTACATCAGCTGAGCGGAAGCTCACAGTAATGTGAGTCTCACACAAAAGCAAATGTGCAGGCACAACTCTTTCTTCATGTATCTCTCACTGTATCTACTTCTATTTGCTCAGGACCAGTACAATTATGAAGCTTTCAGGTAGACAAAGTGACGTGCTTATTTAAAAGTGTGAAAGTGCCTATGACCTCCATCACTTCCACCTTAAAACACCATATTAGAAGAGGGAGACCCTCAGCTATAGTCAGCTATTTTTGAGACACTTACACTCACATTGGGGAGAGATTGCCCTTTAGTGGGAAGCATCTGTAATTAACAGTCATTTTTGCTGTGGGCTAGCCTCGTTAGCTGGTAGCATATGTGTAGGTGTCGGGCTGCAATCTGTCTTGAGGTTTAATGAGGATCCTTCTGCAACCTTCACTAACTCTGAAGTAGGATACTGAGCTGGTGGCGAGTCAGCACATTTGTTTGGTACAGAGAGGATAACAGCGTGAGCTTGACGAAACTGATTCATCAGAAAACACGTGCACACCTTCCTTTATGTCACATCAGCTTTTTGATCAATTTATTGCTTAGAATCACAGGATCTGGAACAACATCATCTCTGTGGTTCTTGTGTTTAATGCACTGTGGCACTACTGCTAAAGATGCTCCATGTCCAGAGGCCAATGCATCCTCCATCAAATATATATCATGTACCTGCACGTGCCCTTTGGTCACACCATTACGTCAGTCAAACTAGTTCAATATTACCAAAATAGAGGGAAAAATACTGGACATTTTAGAAATTATTAGTTTGATTTGAAAATGACAACTGTTTGTAGGCTAAATGAACACAATCTGATGTATGAAAGAACCGAAAAACTGAATGTAGCATGAACTCAACAGTGTGTCGTGATGGAGAGAGAAGCACGCTGAACCATGCCCAGTGCTAGTCTATCCTTCCATATTAATTTCCGGAAGTAAATCATTTTTGTAATCCTAATCTGAATGTTGTGACAGATTAAGAGAGAGAGAGAGAGGGAGAGAGAGAGAGAGGATCCAGCCTCTCTAATCTCTTACAAATTCCAAAATGTCGCCTTACAAAGTATTACTTTATTGTTGTCCTTTGTGTCTTACAAAGAATATCTCATGATGGATCCAGGTTTAATTTATAAATCATTATACTGGCATATCTTGTTTTTGTTGTTGTTTATTGACTGGTGGCATGAACATATAAAGAGATTATGCAGAATGGGCTGTGTGGAAATGGGGGAGGGAGTGGAATGCACAAGCATAACTAAGAAATATAACGACTGCATGGATGAGACAGTGTGTGTGCAGAGAAGCAGACAGACAAGCCAACAGATAGATAGATAGATACTGACAGAATATGGTGTAAAAGCTAGAGTAAATTATTTATCTCACCCAAAACCACATCAATAATTAACCAGTGTCAGAGTCTGACTTGTCTCGTGTGTGAATAAGTTATCTTGGAGTTCCAGTGCACTGAGAGCCTGCGAGAGATGAATTGTCTTGAATGCTTGCTTGAAAAACAGAGGAGTGTTCAGTGCAGCAAACACTTGATTTTCTTTTTTTGGGGGATGTATCGAAACTCAAATTTGTATCACCTTTTTTAAAAATGCAACCATCCGCGTCATAGGGAACAAATCCTTGTGGTAATTGTGCCTCTTTCTGTGCATAATTCTCCAGCTCACTGACTAACTGGATCAGCCCAATGGAAAGTGGACGGCTGACACACGAGTGCACTTCGCTGTGAATTTACACAAAAACAAACACACACACAATCAGGTTAAAATATATATACACTGGAAACTGTGGCGCTATGTCTGATTTAACTGTAGGAACGTGTGTATCCGTAGTTAGCATTTACTTTAGACTGCTGCGTGCGTGTGTGTGTTTATTGGGGGGTGGGGGTGGAGGTTGTAATACACAGATGGTCGCTCTTCTGACTTCTCTGTTTGACTCCTGTGGAAAAAAGTGGAAAAAATGGCCTTGCATGAATTCAGTAGCAGCCTAAAATAACAAAAAAATGTCGGTCTTTTCTAAGAAAAATAAGGAATAATTTAAATAACTTAAATACAGAAGGTCCTCGTTTGACAAAGACATTTTAGACAAGGAAAATCAGTGTGTATTATGAAATGGGTGTATATTTTGCATATAACACTTCAAACATTTTTTGCAAATTGCAAATTTTGCAGTACAGCAAATCTGGAAATGCTTCTCCTTTTCTTCAAAACTTCCTTTTCAGTTAATCTACATAATGCACATCAGTATGGGCAAACTGATATTACGTGGTTAAATGTCAGTCTCCGGAGACCTCCTGCTTGTGTCTGAGTAAGTGGACATCTTGAACAGCACCAGTATGGCAGCAGGTCCCAGGCGTCCTGAAGGAGCGGACACTGGGGGAATGTGCTGTCATAGCTAACTCTGCTCGTCGGCCAGTGACAGCTGCTTCCACACACTGGGACACGCTGAGTCAGATCCAACCCCAATATGGTGCATGTTGTCTGCATGGAGGTGTTTAGCGTTTGTGTGTCTGTGAGAGACAAACACTACAGCATGTCTGTAGTGAAAAAAAAAGGTATATGCTCTTTGTCACTGCCTTAAAATAACATGGTAACTCCACAAAAATCTATGACCTCTCATATGTGAAATTCTTATATTGCTCATCATTGAGAGATGCACAGAGCCGTGTGGTGTCAGTGAGATGTACACAAAAAATGAAGAGGACACTCAGACTCTTGCTCAAAGATGTTTGCTGACACCACACCACCATGTTTCCCACTTTTAAAGCAACCAGATATGTGCCCCATTCTCACAGGAAATCCATCTTTGAGCCTCTGCTTCCATGTTATGCAAGTTTTTGTCCCAAATGGAGGTGAGCATCAATGTGTCACCTCACTGTCACTTCTCCTGCTCTTCCTCTTTTTCTTTTTTTAAGGGAAATGCCAGTCCACATTTGACTATTCAAATTAGCAGGCATTTCCGCTGAACCATTTCAAATTAGAAGTCAGCAAATTAGAAGTGACAAGGAATAACATTTTTCCAGAACATATCTTCATAGTGTTGCACTGTTACAGCAGATCACCCCAATCAGGCTGTGTAAAGATGCATGCTAACATTACCTCTTAAACTGTGTCGGACTCACCTTTGGGTCTGTCACTGCAAACTCATGTTGATTTCTTCAGACCTGCAAAGCTTTATTTTAAATTTCAAACATTATATCAACATTATATCAAATGTAATTATGTCTTTTGTATAACTCTATACACATTTCCTGAAACCCTTAAATATCTTTGAGAACTTTTGGACCCACATTATTTTCTGAAGTGCAGAACTCTGTGTCTCTGTGTCTCACCTCAGACTTATTGAGAAGCGGCAGGCCAATGGAGAAACCATCGAGTTATCAGCAGAGGGCCGTCCTGAGCTGGTGGAGGAGAAGGAGCTGCCAGTGGTGGACTGTACCTGCTTTGGCTTGCCAAGGCGGTACATCATCGCCATCCTGTCTGGCCTGGGATTCTGCATCTCTTTTGGCATCCGGTGCAACTTGGGTGTAGCCATTGTTAGCATGGTCAATGACCACACTGTGTACAGAGGCAACAAGGAAGTACTTGTGGTAAGTGGCACATCACAAATCAAAGCTTTTGCACCTTTACGTTATCTGTCTTTGGCAAGGATGTTTGCATTGTTAGTCAAACATCACATGCTTTCTTTATTTTTGTTAAGGCACCCAATTAATGCCACTAATGATTATTGCTAAGAAATATTTCTTTACTTTTTAATTTTGGGAAAAAAAATTTATACCAGTAGATGTACAAAATATATGTAGAGGCTGAGAGTACATCAAAACAGAGGAAGAAATGACACAAGTTCTGATGGCTGTTATCTTCTCTGTTTCGAATTGTATACATTTCAGTTTTAATTGTTAAACTCATATGTATATATAAAATTTCTTTTTCCAGGCTGCACAGTTCACCTGGGATCCTGAGACAGTGGGGATGATCCACGGCTCCTTCTTCTGGGGCTACATCGTCACACAGATCCCGGGTGGCTTTATATGTCAAAAATTTGCAGCCAACAGGTGAATCTCTTCAAATTTACAATATCTTCTCCATACTGGAAAAGAATAATTTTCTCCATACTGGAGAAGATATTGTAGAAGATACTGAATGTGAGCTTGCTATAAATTGGTTGATTTGGGTAACTAACTGTGCCAGCTATAAAAAAAAAAGAATAATTTTCTTTTTTTCTAATAAAACTGAATTTCTTGGCATCAGTTCCCAGACACTAAGCAGTATCAAACCACACACACGCTCTGAAAAAGCTTCTGTTCAATAGAAAACAATAATGAATTAGTTTTAGACAGAAACGCTTCATCTTTTGTAAGTGTATCTTGTGCTGCTGTTGTTACCACTGAATATTTGATCTGAGGCAACTTGTTTGTCTTTTGTGTGTTTAAGGGTGTTTGGCTTCGCCATAGTGGCCACCTCCACCCTCAACATGCTGATTCCATCTGCCGCTCGCTGCCATTACAGCTGCGTCATACTGGTCAGGATATGCCAGGGCCTTGTTGAGGTACAGCATGTTTCTCTGTGCACATGTGTTTGCAGGGCTGTCTGTTAAACTATTCCTACATACATGATGAGTGACTCCCTGGCTGTATTTTGTCCTTCAGGGTGTATCATACCCAGCCTGCCACGGGATCTGGGCCAAGTGGGCACCTCCTCTGGAGAGAAGTCGATTAGCCACAACAGCCTTTTGTGGTAAAGTTTCAACACTGACACATTTCCCCAAAAATTAAATATCTGTGATATCAACAAAAACTTTGGGCTCTCTGCTAGAATTAAGTTCTGTGGGGTTCCTGCAAATTTGAAAAGATTAAAAGTAAAAGACATGGATTTCCTTAGCAGTGTAATAGTATGCATTAAGCATTTTGAGTGTAGAAATTATTGTACAGCTAAAAAAAAAAGGACAAATAAATGATCTGTTGCTTTTCTTCATGTTTGATTCCTTCTTAGGATCCTATGCAGGGGCTGTGGTGGCCATGCCTTTAGCTGGGATACTGGTGCAGTACACTGGGTGGCCTTCAGTATTCTACGTATATGGTTAGTATCTTTGTACTCTTGTGTTGGTTTACTGCATACATACATACACTAGGACACTTTATTTCAAATGCCAATGTATTCAAATCCATTACCTAGTTTGTTTCTGTTGTTCACAATCACGACTAAATGGCAGAGCTTTTATGTGAACATCAGGGACTTGTATGTGTCTGCATCAGGTGTTCAGAATATTCAAGTGGAAGGTTTGGTGCTTGTGTGTGTGTGTGTGTGTGTGTGTGTGTACTTGCGAGCTCACGTTACCTTTGTTAGCTAGTCCTCTCTTACATTTCCATAAAGATACACTGATTTCCTTATAGCGTTTCCACAGCATCAACACCAACCTGGAAGAAATTTTGATGTGAACTGTTGCCTTTAACTCGGTCTCTCTCTCTCTCTCTTTTTCTGTATCCTTGTCTGTGTCTTTTGCTTTCCCCTCACTTCCTCTCCCAGGCAGCTTTGGGATATTCTGGTATTTGTTCTGGATTCTGGTGTCGTATGAGAGCCCCGCAGCACATCCCACCATCTCACCAGAGGAGAGGAAGTACATTGAAGATGCAATCGGAGAGTCTGCAGGATTTCTCAATCCTCTCCAAGTATGGCGCTTTATGATGCGCACGTGTAGCCTATCAATAGAACACTAAAAAGCTCTAAGACCTACACACAAACACATATATGTATACACACACACACACACACACACACACACACACACCCACACACACCCACACATTCAGCTAATACTCAGTTCTTGATCGATCAATAGTCAGTGGATCCAACTAATATCTTCTTCCTTTTTGGTGGCAGAAATTTAAAACTCCATGGAGACACTTCTTCACCTCCATGCCAGTCTATGCCATCATCGTGGCCAACTTCTGCAGGAGCTGGACCTTCTACCTACTGCTCATCAGCCAGCCAGCCTACTTTGAAGAAGTCTTTGGCTTCGAGATCAGCAAGGTGAGATCGTATCATCCACATACGTACAGCAGCTCTCGTACAGTCTCCTACTGTAGCCAGCTGCAATTTCACTGCAGTGGTTAGGTGCTAGGGCCTCACTCAAGGACGATAAAGCTGCTTTTAAAGGAGAGTCAGGGTTTTTTTGTTGGTTTGTTTTGTTTTTTTGTCTAGTTTTTTACCTGGGTTTAACTCTCATGATAGTGTCTACTATGATTAATGATAACTTTGTACTCACTATGAACTCAAGCATTTTAAACAATTCATGTCGAATTTAAGTTCATTTTGAAAACTTTCAGGGGCTTGCATTGCACCATTTTCACTTTTGACAAGTGTTTCCTAAAACTCTACAAACAGAGATGACTCACAGCCAGAACAGCTGTAGTTTTGAGAAAAAGAAAACGTGTTAGTTGGTGTGAGATCCACACTGAACTTTTATGAGCTGTTTCAGGGAATGAAACTTCTTTCAAAGTTCCAAACTCATTTCAACAAAACACCTTAGTGTGAAGTTTCCAATTAATGAACTTGACCATTACTCTGAAGGAAAATCCCCCTAAAACATTTCTGTCGTGTGAACTTTAGTCCTGATTATATACTGTAATTATTCTTTTGTGTGTGTGTGTGTGTGTGAAGTAAAGTAAAGTAGTAAAGTTAAGTGGAAATGATCTTCTTGTGACATTATACTGTATATAATGTATGCTTCCTCTCCTCCCATCTCTTTTCTTTAATGTGTTAACATTTCTTAAACAGTCACTGTTATCAAGATCAACATGATATTATCAATAGTTATGAAAAAGTTTGGATGTCAGGGCAAATTTAAACTGCAACAGGAGATGGTCAATCTTTTTCAACCTTCATTCTTATGTGTCCCTCTCTTTCTCTCTCTCTTTCTCTCTCTCTGTGACATGTACATGACCGCTCCCTCTCCCCTTTCCTGTTTCAGGTGGGCATGGTGTCAGCTTTGCCCCATCTGGTGATGACAATCATCGTGCCTATCGGAGGCCAGTTGGCAGACTACCTGAGAACCCACAACCTGATGTCCACCACCAATGTCAGGAAGATGATGAACTGTGGAGGTGAGAGTTGGAGGAGGGTGAGGGTGAGGGCGAGGAGGAATGAGAACAATGGAGAGAAAAAAAAGAAAAATCATGACAGTGTATAACAGGAGCAGAAACTGAATAACACACTGATTTTACATTAGAACCTCTCATATATGACATTATGACGCAGTTAAAACTGTTTGAGTTTGAGAGAAGTTGAATATTTTGAGAGGCTATAGAAAAAGAAAAATGTAAATGATTGACTAAAAAATCTTATTACCTCTCTCACTTTCTCTCTGTTAGAGGAACTAAGCATCCAGTCAACACATGTCACTTTTCAGGGAAATTTTTTTAATGTCTATTCTGTTTTAAATATCTTTGTCATTTAAAGTAATGACTGAAGTGAAACCGAACTGATAGAAAGACTAAGAAAGTGACACAAAAATAACGTGTAGCCTTGCTATCATATTATTATTTTTGCATAACTTGAAGATCAGACCAGTCTGTCTGTTTCATGTGCATAAACAATTTCTATCACATCACATAGTGGATATACAACACAATTATAATGCACTACAGTGTTGGTGTTGGTGATAGTGCTCCTCATTCTTCCCTTCTTGTGTTATTTTTTGATGTGTGTACGTGGCTGTGTTTCAGGTTTTGGAATGGAGGCTACCCTCCTGCTGGTGGTGGGATACTCTCACACAAAAGGTGTCGCCATTTCCTTTTTGGTCCTCGCTGTGGGTTTCAGTGGATTTGCTATCTCAGGTAAGAGATGCTTTAAACAAATAAGCTTGAAGCCCAATTTAATCAGATCTACTGTTATGTCATCTGTTGCCAGCGACAGCGAGTTCAGTCCGAAGTATCAAACAGACAGTTTGTGAGAAAAATGCTGTGTGAACAATGGGTTGTTGCCAATCTTTTAAAGGATCAGTTTGAAAATTTAGGAAATAATAACACTGTTTTCTTTCCTTTTTCTAATCTTAACCATGAACATCTGTTTCAGTAACATTGAAAAAAAGTTTAAGAGATAAGAAAAAATTATATTGTGCTTGTATTTTTATGCTCTTAGGGTTTAATGTCAATCACTTGGATATCGCCCCTCGATATGCCAGCATACTGATGGGCATCTCAAACGGGGTGGGAACATTATCTGGAATGGTGTGTCCTCTCATAGTGGGAGCCATGACCAAACATAAGGTATATCCATTCACTTATATCAACTTATCAATGCCAAGCATGAAACTTTTGAAATTTCTGTATATGTTTAATGGACAATGAAACTAAGTAAAGTCTTATTTTACATGATTTCAGACACGTGAGGAGTGGCAGGGCGTCTTCCTTATAGCTTCCCTCGTTCATTATGGAGGAGTGATTTTCTATGGTATGACTATGAATGATGATTGTGTTTTGATGAGTCAGTGTTTTGTGAGGCTTGTGTAGAAGAACTCGGTCTAAAATGTGCTTTTTTTTTTTTTTTTTTTAAATAGGACTCTTTGCATCAGGAGAAAAGCAGGCATGGGCAGACATAGAAGACACCAGCGATGAGAAGTGTGGTATCATAGATGAGGATGAACTGGCCAATGAGACAGAGGAGCTTTACCGTGGAGGTGGGCAGTACGGGGCCATGAGCCAACCAGTGGTTGGTTCCAATGGAGGAGGGGCCGGAGGAGGAGGAGGAGGAGGAGCTGGACCCGGATGGGTGTCGGACTGGGATAAATCTGAGGAGTATGTTCAGCCGCCTGGATACAACTCTTATATGTATGGGGGAGAAGAGGAGAGGGAGCTGACATAGAAGATTGACATGATACAAGTTTAAAAAGAAAGGATAAAGAAAAGAAGAAGATTGTTTTTGGAAAGGGATTGTAAGAGAGTGTCACTGCAATACTGAATGGACCTCCTCTGTGCTTTTGTACAATATTTACAAATTGCACATATCAAAAGTATGCATCTGATTCATTCCATTGTGTGTGTGTGTGTGTGCGCGCTTGTGTGCGAGTGTGTGTATGTGTGTGTGTAAGCATGTGCATGCAGGTGTTAGAGTCGTTAATGTACATAAACACATACAGTATTCATTTGCGGAAAAAAAATGAACTCATCTCCTAGACTTCCTTCCTGCTCCTGGGCTCGTTGTGATTGGTCAGGAGTTGTGTTTCCACGACATCACTGAGGAGATTCTGTGTGCGTGTGTGATTATGTGTGTGTGTGTGTGTGTGTGTGTGATTATGTGTATGTATGTGTATGTATGTATGTATGATGTGTGTGTGTGTGTGTGTGTGTGTGTGTGTGTGTGTGTGTGTGTGTGTGTGTGTGTGTGTGTGTGTGTGGGCTTTTTGCCTGTACAGCAAGTCTCTCAAGCCACTGGAGTTGTGTTGTATTTAAATTTTTATGCGTGAGCCACACATTTACTTTTTTGCTGGGAAAGCACCCTTGGGGCCTCGGTTATAAAACGTAAAACTTTTGAGCTTACAATATTGTCAATGTCAATATAAAAGCTCGATCTCTATTTATCTATCTATCTTACCCTCTTACTTTAGGCTCTTGGGTATCAAAGAAATCATAACGATCAGATGATAAAAATCAGTACACAAATTAAATTTAAAGTGTTGTGGACAATTTTGTCCAGACACTGGTGATGCATCATGTTAATACTGCTTCACCACAGCAACATTATGTTCCCATGGCATGCATAGTTAAAGTATGCCTGTATGTGGTGGGAATCTGTCATCGGTTTCAAACCCTCAGTGACTAATTTCAAACTTTTCACTCAAAGAGGAAAAAGGTGCTTAGGTGTTGTATAAGTCTGTGTATGTGATTGTAAAGTTGTAATGCTTTTGTTAAAACAGGCTGCCCTTAATGTGTGTGTGTGCAGTTGTGTGTGCAAAGGCGTGTGCTTGAGTTTGTGCACAAAGCTGCATGTGGTGTCTAGCTGAATCTCACCTGGGTCTGACCTAACTAGGTCATGTCCAGCCAGGCTTATGGGTCACAAAGCACATATCATGAGTAATCACCTGACACTTGTGACTTTCCATTTGGTGTGTGTGGTCCCATTGGAGAGGTGGCCCAGAATGACAAGTAGAGTGTGATAGTTGCTTAACTCTTCCACTGCTTAACCAGTGCAGAAAAATAATGACAGTATAATATTCCCAGGCATCACAGCATGTGCTGCCTCTGTTTCTGCATTTTTCTGTTTCTCTGTGGCTGCTTCGCCCTCCATTTCCTCCCTGTGTGCATCAGGACATTCTCTGTTTGCTCCTTCTCGGTCTTTAATCTCTGTTGGTGCTGTTTCCATGTCTGTAAATGTCAGTCATGTTTGAGTTGGTGGGTCAGAGCTTTTCAGACCGTCTGTGTGTGTATGTGTGATAGTCAGTGTGTTGTTGTGTAGGGTGCAGGTGCTGAAACATTGTGCGGTGAGCATGTTTTAATGAGCACAGCAGTGCAGTACCCTGTCATCCCTCTCTTTTACACACAAACACACATACAGGGTGCTAATTTCATGCAAACACAGTCAAGTGCACCACGCGCACTGAGCAGAGGGAGTGGTGGCACAATATTTGGTATTCATGTGCCTGCAGGAGTAAAGCGCACCCATGGCGCGCAGGGAAACAGGGTGGGATTAGCAAAAATTCATTATCATACATTGTGAGAGGGTGTGTTGAGGTTTCTTGACAATCATGGCCAATCACATCAGCTCCTATAATGCCCTTTAAACATAGTACCCTCTCCATCTTAATGCACTGACAGCTGGGTAGTGGAGTGGAGAGTCCAGAGGTGCTTCTCCTGAGAGGACACTAACATTCTCAGGAGGGAAACCACCATATTGTGCAACATGCACAGAATAACTTTTTGCACCTGCACATAACGTAGACAGGGCCAACAGATTCAGACATGAAACATGAGCACGAGCGCGCGCGCGCGCACACACACACACACACACACACACACACACACACACACACACACACACACACACACACACACACACACACACACACACACAGTTCTGCATTCTGCTTGTACCCACAGGTCATGCTAACACAAAGTAATTTATTCTTAAATTCAAAAGTATATTTGCAGACAGTTCTTTCTCAGATCAAGAATCTATTGCTATTTCACTTATAGAAGGTCTGTGATTTGAGTGCACTTTTGTGAGAAAAAAATACACTGCTGGAATGTTAAAGCGGATTTCTTTGAATTAAATGAGGATTTAATGGTAAAATATGTTGGTATGTTAATAAATTATTTTAAAAAGTGACAAAGGCAAATTACCATATTGTTTTGAGTGAAATGTCTTAAAGACATGAATGATTATTCCTGTGAACAATTTCATTTTTAAGTGTTGTATCAGTGTATTTTCAATCAAGTTTCTTCTTTGTCTCAGTTTATGGCTGTTCCAGTGTTGTCCTCCTCCTTCTTGATGAAATGTGTGATAACCTGGTGGGAATCAGTGTAAAAATAAAAAAGGAAATGATAATATGTAAACATGCAGAAATGTGAAAAATATTCTATGTATAAAAGATGTATATGTGAGATATCCTTGTGTATAATAAAATTTAAGCAATTTAAGATGATGTCACTATTTCAGCACATTCATGTCATCAGGATTTAACACCAAAACAGCATGATGATGCATTATATTAGCATTGATTTTTTTACATCATGAGCACAATGTCAGTTCTCTGTCTCTCTCTCTCTTTCTCCCAGGACAGATGGATGTGGGATTATCTCTGTGATTTTAGGCAAAGATTAGATAGGAGAGCAGATGCACTCGGTGGGAGAGTGAGCGAGAAACATGGACGTCACAGACAAGGGAAGTGAGGATGATGGACCAGAGGGTGGGGCATGATGCCTGTTCTGTGTGTGTGTGTGTGTGTGTGTGTGTGTGTGTGTGTGTGTGTGTGTGTGTGTGTGTGTGTGTGTGTGTGTGTGTGTGTGTGTGTGTGTGTGTCTCCTCTGTCAGATCAGTGCAACTGAAGCTAAATCTCAAGAAAACACATTCAACCATTTTTTTTTTTAAATTCATGTGTGACTGCTTTTTTCAATTAGAAGTATAAATTTCACATGAACAAAGTGAATTTTATTACAATTTTCAGATTCGAACAAATCTATAATTTGGATTAGTTGTACAGTCATCCTGTTTAATAAGTAATTTTCATCATTATTTAATCAAAATTATTTCATAATCATATTCGTTTTAGATTCCTTCAGTTTAGAGTTTATTTTGAAAGAAATTACCGGAAGTGGTATCATGCTATTATGTCTTCACTGCTTTTTTGTCTTTACCACACCACTTTCAGCCCCATAGAGCTAATGGGAACTGCAGTCTGGTGATGCTTTTCTGTGGGCTCATCACTATGAGTGACACCTTTCACCTCAAACATATTTCTTGTATTAAATAATACAGCATTACATACAGCATACACCACTTATAATATCAAGTAGGTCTACCATAAACTGCCATGTCTCTTATGAACAAAAAGTGGTCTCCACACCAGAAAACTGTTAGCTCCTAAACAATACAATTATTACCAATACTTCTGTAACTAATGTCATAATATTAATGTTATTATGCTACTGGTGCTATTTGTAGTAGTCACACTAATAATGATTTGTCCGTATTGTTATTAATAACGACTATACAGGCCAGTATAGGCTGATTATTGCTGTGCATTAGCCACCAATTTAAATATATTGTCGTAGTTCCACAATGTGACCAGTGGAGGGCAGTGAACACTAATGATTTACTCATTATTCACGAGTGTTAATTCAGACATAATACCACACAAAGACTTCCGGTAAAAACTTTCAAGATAAGATGATCAGAAGAGGCCGGCGGTAACTAATGGTCTGACCACAGCCCAATGTTTAAATGAGGGCAAAACGTTCTCAAATATAGTATTTACTGTTTATTGAATTGCGTTACATGAGGCAGAGGTTCATAATGTTTGAGATTAGAGAAAAGATTAAATTAGTTCTAACATGGGTGTGAATACCGTTATTGATATTCATAAGTATAGATATCTGCCTACTAAGGGATGTGGAGTAGAGGGGAACCATCTGTGAGAGAAGTGAGGTTTGAGAGGCCACGCCCGGTCAGGGCTGCTCCTGTTTGTGATTGGACGTATTTGCTAGTTGTGGGCGGGGCTACAAACTAGTACTATACTGTGAATGGGCCTTTGCAACGTCTGTCTGCTTGCCGTTGTTTCATTGGTTGCTTTAGGAGGGGATTAACGTGAAAACTGCTCTGCTTACAATGAATCACAATGGAGACTAAATAGGAGCTCGCACGAATTCAGGCTTTAATTTATTTATAACATAAAGTTTGATTTTTACTAGTAGCGTCGAAAACCTTTAGTTCATATTTTCACACGTATTTCTAGGCAGGAAAACAAGTTGCAGACAGATCCCGAAGTGTTTCTACAAGTGTTTTGAACAAGGAAATGATCTCAGGCTAACGTTATGTAGCAAGCTAATCTCACTTATCCATTGGTAAACTCTGCTATCTCTCGTCTCAGACTGTTATAAATCCCGCACTAAGGTAAGTACGTTTAAACAGTTCGGATTTTTACTATGGATACTCATTCATATCGATTCAGTAACTAGTTAACATGAATAAGGAATAGTTTACATGAAGATAACTACCGTCAGCAGAGAGTAAGTTTAAATCTGGGTCAACCTCTTCGCCATGTAAGTGCAGGGAGGAAGAAGGCAATAACAGCTGGTTAGATCACCTTTATTCTTGTTAACTGGATAATGCGATATGAAACCTGTTGGTTTAATCCTTTCCAGGCATGACCGAGTACAAGCTTGTGGTAGTGGGGGCAGGAGGTGTGGGGAAGAGCGCTCTCACCATCCAGCTCATCCAGAACCACTTCGTTGATGAATATGATCCAACCATCGAGGTGAGAAAGGAGCTATTAGATAAGTGTGTGTCCTGGGGAACGTTTTGTGTAATATAAGCGAAAAAAAAAAAAACAGTAATTTAAAGTTTTATACGAGACTACACGATCGTATTCATATGAGGCAAATGTTTCACTGCTGCAGCTGCATTTTTGGTATCTTATAAGTTAATGCGGGATGGCCATTTTTATGTGTATTACACAATAAATAAATGTACAAAATTTTTAATTACAAGTTCTGAATTCAAAAGTAACAAATAAAAGTATTAAGAATCATATGGGTAGATAAGATTATTATCTCTGATGCATAAACATGCAATATACATTTTACAGTTAAGATGGATCTAATTTTAATTGTTTCATACACTGAGGGCGTTAAACCTTAAAAAAAAAAAAAAAAGGACAATAGCAAACAACAGATTGTACTGTCACCAATCTACTGTGACATCTTTGTTTCTCAAGTTGTTGCCTAAAAGTCAGCACAAGTTGGTTGTAAATCTCTTTTCAGACAGTTAAATATGTCAAGCTGTAAGTCAGGTAATGGTATTATGTCATACTTGATGTTTGAAAAGTGTTCAGGTTTCAGCAAGTTCATTACAAAACATTTAATTTAACAAGGTCTTGTTGCCACATGACCACGCAGTGAGACTGTAGGAAAAAAACCCATGGCAATCGATGTGATGCAATCCACTGTCAGATTTCTTGGCAGACATGTTTGGCACTGCTCGCATGTTCATGCTGATGCTGTGTTACAGGACTCGTACAGAAAACAGGTGGTGATTGACGGAGAGACGTGTCTGTTGGACATCCTGGACACTGCAGGTCAGGAGGAGTACAGCGCCATGAGGGACCAGTATATGAGGACAGGAGAGGGCTTCCTCTGTGTGTTTGCCATCAACAACACCAAGTCCTTTGAGGATGTTCACCTTTACAGGTACAAGATGCTTCATGGGTTCAAGTACACACCAACCAGACTGCTGTTTCAGTAATGAAACACAGCTGCAAAGAGAAGGTGAAGTAGTACTGTCAAATCAATTGTCTATTTTAACTATTGCATCATACTGTGCTATGCAGGTTCGAACAGCCAAGCACTACAAGGTTACTTCCTGACCAGAAAGAACTGCACTTGTAATTATCTGTAACACACATCTATAGACATGCTGAGTGTGGTTACAAGTTCACTAGGGCCATCTGGAAACTACAGTCATATTGATATAATATAATTGAGATTGTCAGCAGATGCCCCCTGAGGGGCATGATGCAGTTTAGAGCAGGTGATGCAGCTGACCCAGATAAGTGATTGTAACCCACTGTTCAGAAAGTAGGGTGACCCCAATCTCTGCGATGCTGTTGCATGTGTCTCCTCCTCAGAGAGCAGATCAACAGGGTGAAAGACAGTGACAGTGTTCCCATGGTACTGGTGGGGAATAAGAGCGACCTGAGTACCCGCACTGTGGAGACGCGACAGGCGCAGGAGCTGGCACGAAGCTACGGCGTGCCATTTGTCGAGACATCTGCCAAGACCAGACAGGTATGTAAGAAAGACAACCTATAGTTAGTTTGCATGGAAGCATGCATGAGCCTTGTTTGAGCAAATAAAATATCCGCACATAAAATAAAACAGCATATAATTTGCATGTTACAAATGCATTTTTCTCTTTGTTTTGCAGGGTGTAGAAGAAGCTTTCTATTCGCTGGTACGGGAGATTAGAAGATATAAGGAGACCAACCGCAGCAACAAGAAGAGCAAGAAGAACACTCAGAGACGCTGCATAATACTATAGCAAACCACACACACACACACGGCACTGGCATCCCTTACGGCACTTGTTTCATGCTCCCTCTCACACACTGCACCTCCTGTCACTTTGGAGACATCCAGCACAGCTCCAGACAGGGAAGCAGCCGCGGTAAAATCCATTTTTACTGCTGTCAAAGTTTCCACTAACAGTATGTTGCTAGAAGATTTGCCATTTATTCATTCAATGTGCAGTGTTCACTTAACGCTGTGAATTCAGTTGGTTTTTTGTTTTTATGACCAAACATCTAGAAACTAGTTTAAGTTGGATGTTTTGTTTTTTTTTGGTTAAGGAAAAAAATTAATTTGAGTCTGTAGTAGAAAGATCTCTTTTTTTTTTCCAAGAATCCATGAGAAGTTGTCCATACAGATAACTTTTTCTAATCTTAAATAGTCCGGCCAGTGTTTTCAGCACCTCTTAACTTAGGGGTCAAAGGCTCACAGTAACAAGCTGTTCAATGTACACTTCATGAGAAAACAGTATCCAAGTGACTTGGATACTTTTTTCCTGTTTTGCCTCCAGTCAGATGTTTTTCTTCTTCCCCTTCTGTTTTTTTTTTCCATAGGTTGGCATGTCCTCTGGTCTTTGAAACAATAGATAGTTGGGGTTTTTTTCCCCCTCACAAAGACCATGGGCCCTATCTTAGACCTGGCGCAAGGCGAACCGCAAGTGTCTTCACAAGTTTCAGACTGAGGCAGTTGTCATTTTCCCGTCCAGTGCCCGCGTTGTTTAAATAGCAAATACACTTCCGCTCATCTCAGCATCCATGCGCATCTGATGCGGTCAGGCGCATTGTTGGCACATTGCTTTCTTAAGGTAGCGTAAAGCGATTGCGCAATTGACCAACAAAAACCTGGTCTGAAGTCAGTGAAGTATTTTACTGTTATTTTAAGGGCGCATCATCAAGAGAGTAATATGTGCCTAGATAGGCAAGTGTACAACACACAGCAGCTGCCTGTTACACACAAACTGTTCACTTCAGATGTTTGGCTATGTCAGGTGGAACACAATACAGCCTCAGAAGGACAGAGCATGCCTTGTGGCATATTTTGCCATGTGTTATGGATGCCTCTTGGACATAAATAAGGCTCTGCAGAGAAGCGTTCTGTCTTACTACCTGGTAAATCCACCAGTGTTTCCCATTCATCACCTAGACTAAATTTGTCCCACCACAGGTTCATAATGGACCGAAAATGTATTTACACTTCTTATAATATAACATAAAAGATGTCTAACTCTGTGCCGATTTGTGCCGTTGCTTCTTTGTAGAGCTGTGCACAATGCATTGATTAGCTTAGCCTTTCCTTTCCCAAGCGTGCTGTGTGCATGTGCTGGGACTGGGCTCACTGGTCAGTCACCACAAATGGACTCCAATTTTGTGTGAAAAACTGCGCCATTATAATAGCAATGTGTCAAGGTGCAAGCACACCTGGCTTTTAAAGGGAATGGTAGATGGCACTCTGATTTGGTTTAAGTACAAGCCTTTTGAATCATGCGCCTGGCACAGCGACTGTTTTTTCTGCTGTTGAAATAGTGGAAGTGGATATGGACACACCCTAAATGCACTTGAGCCATGCACTTCAGACCTTGTGCTTTCGATTGAATGTTCAGGAAATGCTGTAGTAGGATAGCATCACCACAGTAACAAAAGCCTCAAAATTGTGTTCCAGATTCCTAGGTGCACTTTATTCATTTCCTATCATATGTTTATTTTTGTAGAACTTTGAATTAGTGGTAGTGCCATTTCAAAGGTTTACTCAGGAATATGGTGTTTTATCAGGAACTGAGGAATAACAGACTGAGCGCTGTGTCAAATGATTGGTTGAAATCTGATGCCTGTTTCCATATTTTACACCATTAACTTATCATTTGAAGTGTTGGCCCTGCTGTTTGCTCCACACAGTCACGCTGTATTCCAAAGTCCACTTTTTAAAGCAATTATTATGTCAGTCCAAGTGTTGTTGGTGGTTCAAATTGTAAGTCACTGTGTCAAAGCACAGATGATGCTACACCACACTCTACCAGAGAATGTAGTGTGTGCAAATATTCATGTGGTAATACATGAAACCACTGAAAGCAGTGTTTAACTTAGTCTCACAGCAACAGTCATGGTATCTGATTATAAGCATATTCAGTAGCGCAACCGTTTTTTATAGCAGTGTTTGTCTTTGATAATTACCATCACTAGTAAATATAATGGATGGTTGAATTTCTATTTTTGTATCATTACAAACAGTTTTCCCAATTTAAAAAAAAAACCCAGCATCTGCATTAACTAACTGCTGTCCACATAGTTACTAAAATGATATCAAAGTTCAGTGAGCTAACTTCAACTGAGTTGTATTGTGCTAACAGAAGTGAATCCATCTATGACGGATTCCTAATTTTCTTTGGTTCATTGGTATAAAACCAGCAGGCTGTCATCATTTGGACTCAATGTAATTCCATTGTGAAAATATGGAGTAACTGATTTGATCTGAAGAAGCCACTGACAGTCATATGAAATCTGTAATGCACTCTGGTATAATGAACAAGTAAATGTCTGTAGCTTTTACATCTGGTCTGTTTTGTTTATCCAATGTGTTTACTGGTTACTTTTGTCAAACACACAAACCAAGTAGAGAATGTGGTGCGTTTACACCAGATCTGATTTGTAAACCTTCCATATACAGACCTCTACTTTTTCACATGTTTCAAGAAGGAAGAGCAAATACTACACCCAGTGTTCTCCATAAAACCATAAAGAAGATCAGGGTTTTTGTACCAAATCAGTGAAGGGGAAGGGATGTGGTTTATGAGGTCAGACAATAACGATGAAGAGGAAGCCAATCAAGTTCCTCTTTTCATTTCTGTAAAACTCCACACTTTTACTTTGATGTCAAATTAAGATTGGGGAACGTACATCTGAACAGGCAGGTTCATACAAACTTCTTCCCACACAGGACACGTCACGTACATTTACTGTCTGCCATGTTTGACGGCAGTGTGGTTCAGTATCCTGTGTGTAATTTTAACCACTTCAAAAGGGATTTTTGTAATCATCGTTAAATAAGTAATGATCATATCTGAAAGCCCAAAACAAATAGATTGCTTTTTGATTTTATTTTACAAAAAGATACTACTTATTGTCACTTTATTCATATTAGAAATAGTGCGATATATATGCATTTTCACAGCACTAAAAGATGTAGAAAAACAATGAGAGTCCAAAGTTATCTGAAATGAGGCACAGGAGGAATGAGAGTGTGTTGTGTGCCCCTTTTCTCACCATCCAAAACGAGACACCAGCTTACTCTGGTCATCCAGATCTTTCTGAACCTTCTTCCTCATGTAGAAGATGGGACAATCCCGGCTGCAGAAGAGCAAGGAGGGACAGTGTTAGTGGACATAAAGGACTGCTAGTGTGTGCTCAGCCATTATTCCACAATAAACACACAGTTAAATATGTGCTTGTGTACTATTTATGTACCTGGTACAGAGCACATCCTCATGGAGGGAGCCTTGACAACGCTGACACTGAGTCCACAGACGAGAGAAACGTTCCTCCAGTGTGTTCAAGTGAAAGATCTGTAATTTAAACCTTAATGTTAGCAACACATTAGACATTTGTTTTTGAAATATTACCCCCTTAATTCTTCTGGTAACAAATTCTAAACATGTATTAATGCTTTGTGCTTCACTGGAACAGACAACATGGAAAAACAGAATCACATTTTAACCAGCACACTGGTCTATAGCAGCCTGAAAGTAAACAATTATCCAGTTAGACTCTGCACTGTTTAGCTCAATGTACCAAAATAAATTTTATATCATATTCCTTTTAAGGAATTCACTGAGCTCTGAAGAGCCACCAGAGGGCAATATGATGATAAACACTCAGCCACTGCCTGAAAATAAGACATTCAAGCTTTTCTTCAAGCACATTCAGAGCTAGGACTGTTAGTGAAGAAAACGAAAACATTCAAGTATGAAGTCATTTAGCATTTTGCCTACCTCCTTTTGGTACAGTTCAGACTCCTTCTTCTTACAGAAATCACACACAGCCGCTGCAATGACAGACATTAGATGTTGCACATATTGTATAAAACTCCAACCCAAAGTGTACTACTGGACATTAAAAAATAAAGATGGACTGGTCCTATGCCAAGAAATGAAGAGCTACTGTTCATCCAAAAGCAAAACATCCTGTTAAATTGAAAGTATCACCTAAATTCATGAAGGGAATATCAAAGAAGAGAAAAAAATCTTAAAATACTGAGCACACATACTGTCTGTCTTGAGCACAGCTTTGCAGCCGATACAGGTGCTCCTCTTCTGGGCAAATGCCATGAGGCCCCCGACCTTTGAGGTCAACACCGTCTTACAGCGTGTGTGGTCACCCTCTGAAACACACCACAAAAATAAAAAAATTAACATCCAAAAAACTTGAGTAAGAGTACCTCTAGTAAGATGGCATTTTCTACATTTATTGGATAAACTGTGCAGCTTTAACATTTTAGTTGTTATAATGTTAAAAATGTTACATTTGAGTCCTGGGATCCCTACAGATGCTGATTTTGATGAATAGTTTATAGATTTCACAATCAGTAATTTATGCTTTAAAATGTCAAGACTAATGTCAAATGCTCAAAAGCTAATGACCATGATGTGCGTGTGTTTGGACTCACTGAGCAGGACGCTCTCTGCCTTGCTCTCTCCCAGGATGGGCTCAAATATTCTCAGCAGGGGCTTGGACAGCTGCTGTTCCAGGTAGTATTGGGTGTCGATGGGAATGTTGTTTTCCAGCACATAGATTGGGTCCTGAAGCAACATGTGGAAGAATCAGGGTTATTGCCAGGATTTAATATTCACAATAAGGAAAGGAAACAAACACGCATATTAAAAATCTATCAAAGACAACACTACAGACCTCTGACTTCATGTACGCTGCTGCTCCCTTCGCAGCCTTGATGATGACATATGGAACTCGGTCTCCCAGGTTGGGGGCACTGCCAGCATCTCTTTTCCTCATCCTGTAAAACATCAATATTAATGAGCCAGTTCACCCATATCACACAGAATATTTTCCTTTTTAGTGTTATTTGAAATTAAGTGACTCAGTGTCTGGTGTCAGACCTCTCTGCCAGCTCCACGTGTGCCTGTTTGCCAGCGTACTCCTGGGCGGTGCGCGTTAGCTCCTTGGTGATGACCAGCTGGCTGATGTCGATGCGGTTGCACAGAAGGTCTGAGATCACTTCTTTGGCATGAGCCACTGCACCCTGCGGGTCCCTGACAACACATCACATCAGCTGAGTTAGTTATGCACAGTATCAACAGCTCTGGATTAGGTTCAAGCAAGCAATAAAAGAGAAAGTGGGCTGAATGTTTGGGTTTAGCTATTTTCTATTGCAATTCTATTGAGTTATATTCAGTATGTCAAAATGGAATTAAAAATTTAATTATGAAAAGACGATATCACAGAGTACCTCTAAAAAGAATGGGCATGTGTGTACCTGTCTATGAGGATTCTCTGCAGACAGGTGTTGATGAGGTTAGCCACCAGAGGGCAGTTGTCTCTGCGGACAGTCTCAATGCCTTTACAGTCCATCTTCTCATGTGTGTGTGCACTGGAGGAGAAATACAGGCCTGCGTAGCGCTTCTTGTTAATCAGCAGGTATGGGTAGTACACCTGTGCAAGTGACAAAAATAAACTCTCATTGATCTATTTCTCCTGTGAACCCTGAGGTCCCCCGTTTCAAGATCTACAGATATTCTCTTGAGAAGACCAAAATGTATTGTAGTGTAGATGAGATGTTCAATGTTTCCAGTTTACAAAAAAAAGATGAATGTGCATTTATCACATTTATAGGGTAAAAATTCAATTCAATTCAATCGTATACATCCAAGTGCAAATATAGCTTCATGTGGCTGCAGTGTTCTTTAATACAGAGATGGCATCTGACACAGAGAGGGATAGTTATATTTCATGAACATTTTTTGACTGGACATTGAACTTTTTGAATGAGAGAAATATGTAGGAGATATAACATCAGAAATGTCAAATTCTATGTTGTACTTAACACCACAACTGCGCAAAGCTTCATACTTTATTTTCCATCATGATAAGGACTTATATGTAAACATAGCTTTGGAAATAAGACGCAGGGACAAGAGATATGAGCAATGTAAGTGTGCAAAAGAGACTTTTCTTCAACTGCATTAACATCTTATTATAACAAATACCTTTGGTACATTCGGAATAGAGTGATTTTCCCTACATAGATTAATCTGAGTGATCTGATATGTTCTCAATTAATCAGTTAATTGTTTGGTAAATTGTATCAAATGTCTATCTAGAGACCAAATTGATAGATTCAAATGTCAAATTGGGCTGGAACACATGAATTATAGGCCTCAATTACAAATTCCACAGGGACAAGTGTGTTGATAAATGGACTGGACTGAAATTGTACCTTCTCAAACTCCAGTTTGATGGGCGGAGTAAAATGGGACGACACCCACTCCGCTGCCTCCCTCCCGATATCCATCGCCTCCCTTACTGTTGCAACTCCAAGCTTAACCATTACAGAGTCTGTGTCCCCATAGATTACCTTAACAGATAAAAATAAAATTAAAAAGGAAAACCACAGACAAGTCAGTGTTTACATTACAGAGAGGAACAAATCTGATGTTAGCCGATATGTGATATGTTAACCAGAAAAAAAGGAACCAAATGAGCTGAGTTTGGTTCAGTATAAGTGGATGGCAGCCTCATGTATTCCTCACCTTGGCATCACCTTGGTAACCATTGGAAATAATGTATTTTGACTCCACTAGCTGTTTGGTTTGCTCGATCATCTGTCTTCCAAAACCTGTGACGCTCTGAATGAGACAAGAAAAGATTTAATTAGAGTTTACATAACTAAATTACCTGTGGTGTTGGAAAAAGCTTTCATTGGCCACGGAGCAAAACCTTCAGCCATGTTACAGGTCATGAGTTTCAATGACTGAGAAAAATATTTGCTACTGGGCAAAACTGATCATAGAGTTGTCTCAACTCTCTGTGAGAGTGTTGTTTAATTAACTATGTCAACATTTCACAAAGCAGCAAGAAGCAGTCTGTTGCAGCTATTTTTCTACACTTGCAGTAGGTCTTTGTGTTTAATTGTTTACATTTCTGCCACCACCTGCTCTGTGGTTTCTATTTCAACACTAATCTTCACTCTACATCTTTGCTGTTTACAGCTTGTGCTCCGATTTCACATCTGAGTGGAACAATTGGAAGAGTGACAATAAGTCAAATGGGGATGACTGCATTTAGCAAGAATGACAAACAGTTGTGTCATTCTTCTTCTGCCAACCAATGTAAGGGTAAAGACAACAACAGTGCTCTTTAGCTGAAGATTATTCACACTAATCACAGTATATAAACATGTAAACATAAGGTGCAGTCACCAGTATCAGGTCTGAACAACATAATTATTCTAAGGCTGTCTACAGAGTCAGGTGCTCACCTGGGAGATCTCTAGGCAGGGCAGCTTGCCCACCTGAGCACCCGTGAAGCCATAGACAGAGTTTGCACTGATTTTGAGGGCCAGCTGTCGGCCATCCAGCACCTGCTTCTTGAAAGGGTCAGTTTCCTTCTTCAGCTCTGTTTTGGCCCTGTGGCGAGACAGAGGGACAAGGTGAGAAGGAAGTCACATCTGGCTGATTTATGGGCACACCAAAAACATGTTTATCTGCTCTATATATTATTTAAAGGGTCGTAAAAATAATTATTTTCTAAGACGTTTGAGTTTTGATCATTTGAGATTTGGTCATCAGTTGTTTTTTTTTTTGGTAAACCCATTTTTGTATTTTTAAAGAATAAATCTGAATGTTCATTATAGAAAGAGGAACCGTTCAACACTAATTGTGAATCACAGGATTAAAAAGTTATTAATAAGCTTTTTGTTGTTATTTATTTGAAACAATTCGAACCTCTTTCTGGCAGACAGCAGGTTCTCCAGGATCTCAGGTAGAAGTCCTTTCCTTACCGAGCTCTTCACAAACAGATCACCAGTCGGAGTCTTGATGAAGTCCTCAGGTGACAAGCTATAGACACACAACCACTTTAGTTATTAGTTTGGATTGTTAATACTAGACAATTGCATTTGAACTGTTTCGAGTTTTTACTTGGACATTAAGACACAATGAATCCATGAAAAAACAATGAATTAAACTAGTTCCACCATACTGTGTGTCAGGTACAAAAGTCTGTAGGCTGGCTTAAGATCTTTGCCTCACCCTAGTTTCTCTACAGAGCCCCTCTGCAGCAGGGTGGTGTAGCACAGATTGTGAGCCATCATGATGGACGGATACAAGGAGGAGAAATCCAGGGTGGCAATAGGGACACTGTAATACCTATGCAGAGAAGAAGGCGGTGATGGAAGAAACATGACAAGCTTGCACCTACAAAACCAAAAAATCCAAGAGTGGAGTCAAACATTCACATGACCAAACACCAGACCTACATACCCTTTCTCTGGCTCAATGACAGTGGCGCCAGTGTAGTCTTCTCCTCCTTCTGTCTTAACAACAGGCATGACCAAGTCCTGTTTCATGGCCTAAACATGTACAGATACACAGATACTTAAGAGTTATCATCTTTAAATCTACATGCATCCAGTGACTTGTGCATCCCATGTGTTTGCCTTTGTTACCTGTCGCAGCAGCTGAGACACGACTTTGATCTGCTGTCCTCTTGACAGCAGGTACGTGAGAGGCACACCTGTCACTCTTGCCATCTCCATGTAGTTAATCACACACATCAGCTTCTGCAGCAGGCGCAGTGGGAGGTAGGCGTCTTTCAGGCAGTAGACAGCCAAACGTCTACGAGTCTGTTCGTTTCCATTCTTGATGGAGGACAAGCAGAGAACAACAGATGAGTGACAAAAGCAACATGTTTTTTTCCAAGAAGCTTACATCTTTATTTTGACTTCATTATCGAAAAATTACCCAAATATTTAAATATTTATTAATGAGGGCAGTCGAATCTGCGCAGCTGAAAGACAACCAGCTATTTTCCAGGTGCAACAAGGTTACCTGCAGATCAGTGATGATGGAGTGCTGTACATCCTCCTTCTGTTCTTGCAGGAAGTGGAAACTCACAGCGTTGAGTGTGTATGAGCGCAGTTTATAGTCCCGGAGGAGCACCTGATTAGACAGACACACCAACCAGTTTATGCTCAGTCTGTCTTTTCCTGAAAACAACAAATCTGTGCACCACATATTACCAGTATGGTAACATCACTATTGTTTAATCATAATTTACAATAGTAAGTGCTGACCTGCAGCAGATCAAACTGAACCCGGCCCTCCATGTTAACGGTCTTGTTCTCTCTGCGGCCCATCTGCTTGCTCTGGAAGTTTAGGTCGCGCAAGACTGACTTGATTCCTCGTACTCGGCCCAAGTAGGGAAACAGGTTCACCTAAATACAAATATCATGTTTTATTGAACAGAGGGGGGAGCAGAGATGTTTAGATCTTAGGGAGATCTGAAGTATATCTACTACAAACACACTTTATAGAGGTAGTTAAGTGACACTCAATGATGCTTAATCTGCCAAGAACATTTTAGGCTTTGGTATTGGATCAAACTAAAGTAAATGAATGTGGCTTCATCTAACCTTTAAAGCAGCAGCTCTGTTGAGCAAGTAAGGAAAGTCAAAGTTTTGAATGTTGTATCCTGTGATGATGTCTGGGTCCACTGTCCTCAAAAACTCCGCCCAGCTCTGTTCACACAGACGTTAACAGACACAGAACGACATGGGAGATGAACAACAAAACCACAAGTGGGAGCGAAGAAAACATGAAAATTTGTTTGTTTTGCAGTGCCTTCCTGAAGCCGGCATATTTACCTGCAGCAGCTGTTTCTCTTGTGCGAAACACAATATCTGAGAGCCCACAATGCTCGCGCAGGACTGGAGGGTGAACACTGTGCGAATGAAGGGCTCTGTCTCACCCTGTCGCTGGACCATAGATGCAATCTGAATCACAGGATCTTTATCTGGCTCTGGGAAGATTCCTGAAAAGAAAAGAGTTAACATCCACATCAAACTCTACATTTGCTTTTCCATCAACTATGAATAGATTGAATGCTGTATAATGAGAATCCCAGAGATAAAGAACCCCACCTTTTCTTCCTGCACATTCAATATCAAAGCTCAGGACCCTGAGTGGTGCGATCCTTTGCCAGTCTCCCTCTGCTGGGTGACTTATCAAATCTGTCCATCCCACATCCACCTCATACTGACACAAGGACTCCTGACAGCCAAAAAACGGGGGAGAAAAAACACTGTTGATAAAAGCTGGACAATACAAAAATTCTATGATGGCACTTAAAGGGAAGTGAACCACTGACCCATGTAGTATGACAGTAGGCTTGGGCTGACATTCGATAATATCAAATATTGCAATATTTCTTGCCATATGCAATATTTTTCATAATATCGAAAATATATACAAGAAAAATATTGTATATTGGGATATTTTTGCTGGGCTGTATGGAGATATCCAATTTTGGATATCGCCCAAGTCTACATGCCAGTTGAGCAGCATAAACAAAAGCCAGATTGTGTCATGAGGTTTAGACATAAACCAGACCTACCTTGCCCGGGTACTGAGAATCTGTGCCCCCCATGCTCTTCTCGTCACGTATCCTGTACTTGCCTTTGGGAAGTTCAATCCAGCAGCATCCCACCACATCACTGTCCACCATAAACCTGACAACAAAGAGAGGTTCATGTAGCTGAAAGATACAGTATCATATCTACTTATCAGCCGTTTTGTAAGAAAGACATTTATAAGAAATTATTAAGTAAATTACAGGTTGGCTTCCATGATCACATGTTCAAGACTAGAGGTAGCGAGATATCAATGGTGTCCCTGCATATAAATGTAAGAAGATATATAATAAAGAAAACATAAGAATATGGTTACAAAATTGAGGATTAACAACAGCAAATACCCTGTTTACCCTGACAAATGTAAGAACACCACAATCTGTGCCAACACCATAACGTAATAAAAAATCTTGATAAATAAATTGAGGTACATATTTCTTCTACTGTGACTGAAATATATACAGTAAATATTTTTCTAGGATGCATGTCCATGTTTTTATTTTCCTTGGATATTTTAAATAAACCACAGACATAGTGTGTTAAGTACAATATGTATAGCACACACACACCTGATTTCAAAATCTATATTGGCCTCATACGACTGGTAACTCTGGATGGGGAAAGGTCCAAACTTAAAGCCCTGCTCCAGCAGTCTCTTTGCGGGGGCAATGAGACGAGGCATCGCCATGGTTATCCTCAAGAAATCCATAATGCGTTTCCCATGGTAACCATACATGTCTGTAGGAAAAGAAAAAAGAAGCTAAGATTAGATCAGTTTGCATTAGTTTGATCTGCCAAGTTAACAACAAATTCCAATAAGTATTTAAACATTATTTGTCCTCACTCTCTTTGCGGGTGATGTCCACAGCCAACACTGTGATGGAGATGTTGTCCTTATTGGAGCGCATGTCCTTCAGAACAACAGAGTTCAACTCTCTTTTAAAATCACCCAGGAAAGCAGATGTGAACCCTTTTCGAAGGAAGTAGAAAGAGGGAAAATTTTCAGGATTAATAAGAATTAATTACATAATAGTGACAGCTCAGATGACAGAAATGGGTTGAACTGAGACAATTATTAAATATTTACTGACAGTGACACACCACAACTACTACTCACCACTTGGTGCTGGAACATAGAAATAAGGTGCAAAACCATGAACGTGGCAACAAACGCTGTTGCCGCTGTCTGTCACTCCAAACATCCGAATAATCGGGACTTTTCCCTGTAACTGGCCAGGCATGCCAGCCACTGCAGGCCCTGCATAGCACATAAATGGAAACTAACTTTGATACCATTTCTTCTCACATACAACAGTGGAACATCAGAGTAGGTGGATATGTTCTACACTCTTATTTAGATCGAAGCAACAAATCAAATATGTGTGAAATATTTGTAAAGAAAAAAAACCTATATGAATCCCGAACAGCTCTATATACTATGATTACCATCATTTAATACTGCTAACTACAGATATATCACAGAATTAAGTCCAAGTCATCTTGGTTTTGGCTTCAACACATGTCGTCTTTGATAATTACCTAAATAATAGTCAAGGTCAATCTGCTGAAACACCAAAGTATCAGATGATGAGTCCACTGTAGGAGCATGAGGCCGCTGCCAGCGAGGGTTAATGTTTGTTGAGAAGAGGTCACCTGACAGAACAAGGAGGTAAGACAGAAATAGGACCAAAATTAATTATTTATTGTGCCAATGGGTACATCTAAGAACTAAGAATTATCAGAAGTTGAACCAACACAATAATCATTTATTATTTATTATTAGCACATAGTTACATTATTTATTATTAGCACATAGTTACATTATTCACAATGCAAAGCTACACACCTATGACTGTGTACTTCTCTGTGCAACACTCACCTACGGGAATAACATCATGTCCCGCCTGTCCCTCCATCTCCTCCCCCTCCATCTCTGCTTCATCAAACATGGACAACTCCTCTTCGAACTGCGATGGACTGTCCTCCCATTCACTTGCTGTTTTACCACGTTTAGCCTGAGATACACCCCCCATAAGAGGGGAACCATTGCGTCTTTTATACTCCATGGCTACAACGAACCTTGTAAACAGAAGACATGTTAGGGAAGATTATTAGAGAGGATATTTTTGATGACAGCATAACAATAAACCCTTAATGATAGCATATTCAGAATAATGCAGAACTATCAAAACAAGCTCCGATTGTGCTACATTAAACGCTTGTTACCACCTGCAAAGAAAGTTTATATTTTTGACAGACAGCCTCTGTTTACTTAGAAAGGGGGTGAAGTAACGTAATAACATAAAGGAGAAAAGAGTAGTGTAAGTAAGGTAAACGACGACACAGCGATAATGATACTTTTTTGAACGATAATGACAAATTTGATACATCATGATCAATCATCGCAGGAAAGATGTAGAAAAGGTCATGTGGTTGGTAAGAAGTGGCCTCGGTCAAATGAGAGACGTTCCTCCATTCTGCACATAATGTAGTCCATAAGGCATGTAACTAGTATGGCTTTTGCTGTCCCACTCTTAACACAAAACTCTGTAAGGTTACAGCTTCTCAACTAAGTGCTGTAGTTAGCTACGTTGTGTCCTCTTCCTCCTGAGGTTCTCGGTGCTATTTTCAGTTAAGTGCACTCGCGGCTAACGTTGACAACTTATCCGCGTATGAATGGCGTAAATTCAACATTTCTCTGTAAGACGTAGCATGTGTTAACCTCAGTGTTCCAGCGGTAAAAATTTATGTCGACTTATTTCTTGTTCAAACTAGGGCAGCTGCTTTCTTTTGTAACAGGCTACAGCAACAAGCTAGCATGCGCGAGTGTAAACACACAACAGTCTCGCGCCAAGGCTGATCTTATCGAACTGTATTACCGACCACTCTGTGAAATCTGCCCACGAAACTGTCAGCGGCTGGTGCGTTTCCAACGAAGGTATAATACCTATCAAAGTTACCTCTTGTCACCAGACCCCGGTTGACAAAAGCTCCCGCCACTCTTCTTCAATTTGTGAACTTTCACCGGCGAAAGCGCGGAAAATTTCCGTTTCGTTACTGGGTACAAAATAAAAGCAATGGACAATGACGACAGACGCAAGGCGGAAACTCGGTTGTAAATGAGAAGGAAGTTGAACGCGGCCAGGCCAAACCTACTACGTTAAAAAGACCGTGTGTTCGCGGCAAAATTACGTCAGAATGTACGCAGCAGAGAGGGAGGGAAAACGGCTCCACAAATACACAAACAAATCTTTAAATGTTATTTTCTAAAACTGAACGCTTTTTCTATTTTGATTTTATTTAAGGCATGAAATTATACACACAGCAACCATCCTACAAACAATGAGATAAACAGTTTAACACTGATAGATAGATAGATAGATAGATAGATAGATAGATAGATAGATAGATAGATAGATAGATAGATAGATAGATAGATAGATAGAAAGAAAGAAAGTGCTGTAAATGTGTGAATTTCTGTAACTGTTAGAAAACAGTTGTAACTATATTTCCTCATGACTAGAATATTTTCGTGCCTCTTAATTTTTATTTGATAATCTGACATCATTACCTGATATCAGGTTTTGGATTGTAATAATAATGCAGTAAGTATGGGGAAGGCAACTGTGTTTCATGTTTCACAGATATGACTACAAACTACTTTAAATGGCAATGTTTAGGTTTATGATTAACTCAGTTTGAACTGGAGGTCACACAATATTATCATCACACACAGGGACACACTAATGAAATCAATAACTATTAAAGATATCAGTGCCTCAGAGTGTGTATCTAACTAACTGATTGGTCAGTTAATCTATAAATTCATCAATAGATAATGACTGCCAACTTTTTTGATAATCAATGTATCAATTAGTTCCTTTTTCAAGCAAACATGTTGAAAATGGTGATCCTAGGTGCCCAAGTGAAAATAATTTGATTTTGGTTTTTGGTTGGATTAAAAGACATTTGATAACATGACTTTGGGCTCAAGGGAATTTTTCACTGTGTTGGATGTTTTATTGACCAAAAAATGAATCAATTAATTAAGAAAATAATCAGCAGATTAAGAAAGCCGGTCATGCCAAGCTCAGAGTTTGTAAGATGAACATATCTTGTGATCTGGTGTCATGTTTATTTTCTTTAAACTCAAATTTGTAAAATATCCCAGAAACTCAGACATAGAAATGCCTTAGACATGAAAACACAGGTATGCTGATTCCTAGATGTCACTGATGATAATCTGATCTTTTCATATAAATCAGTGCACTCATCACTGTGCTATGCACTGTACTTATCTATGACAGTTGGTGGGGCCTTCTGTCACCCCCTCCAGAGACACAAACACAGTGAGGTCAGAGGTCACGTCCTGCCACATCCAACAATTTTGGCAGGAGGATAGTACCATTCTCAGAGACACTTTAGCAGGGAAGATTTGTCCTGGAATCAGCGGTCTGATATACCAATGCTGTGACCGCAGAGCCACTCACTTATTTTCAGCAGCTTTACCAACATAGACCCTGACTTTTTGGCCAATGTGGTCAGGGCTCTCAAGGGTGGATGGTGGTGGAGTTAGAAAATAACTATAAGGTTACTATAGGATAGATGACAGAGATATGTGGAGGGGTTGGGTGTCTTAATGTCACCGGTCATGTTGTTTTCTCCAAACTATGTTCTACATGACCCTTAGGAGACATTATAAATAACTCTCTTGCACTTCTCCCTGCTAACAGAAAAAAAGAAAAAGGTGCCAATGACTCCCCTCTTTTGAATGGATGAAATGCTAATTCACCAACCACTGTAGCGCCCTTTAACTTCTGCCCAGCCAATAGCGTCTCTCAGCTGAGGAAAACACCCAGTTCCCGTCACGTTGTGTGCAGAGGTGGAGACAAAGAGGAGACTGAGGCCAATGAGAGTGAGCCTCATGCATAATGTGACAGCAGCGACCCGCATTCACCAACCCCACCTTCTTCCTGAATCGCAGGCCGTGGACGTCCCGTCCCTCAACATGACAGCAAACGCACCAAACCAATGTGAGTCGCTGGCATTTGACTAAAGCCGCCGCCCCCTTTCCCCCACTCTCCGCTGTTATCCTTTCCATGGACTGACTACGACAGCTGCTTATAGCTCATCTTCGTAAAGTTGGGACAAACCGAAGGGTAAGTCGACATCTGTGTTTAATTTTCTACAATGATAATAGTTGAATACTTCATCAGTGGTTGCGGACGCGCATCAGGACGCTGTGTCCTTTGCGCGTTTCCGCAGCTGTGTTGCAGTAGGTGCCTGATGTCACGTTCGCCCCACAACTCATGAGAAAACACAGTATATGCATGTAACAGCATTCATGTGCAGCCGGCAGCTCAGTTTTTGATACTGTTATTGCCTGTGGTCTTTGGACGAGCAGCCACTGCCCGAAGTGAACGAGCACTGCGTCCTCCATAGCTTGATTTGGGACGATTTCTGGTGTTCTTCAAGACCTGAGGCCCACTAGACTGCACAATGTAAATATCCATAATAGTGGACAAGGGCGTGATGGTAATTATTGTGATTGCATGTCCATGTGAGTGTTAGTAGAACATTATAGTGCTTCCATAAAGTGGTGTCCCAAGCCATGTGAGGGCACCCACACAGAGCCCAGGGGGTCCCCGAAGAAATAGTCCCATTTAGGCACTGTGGTATTTACTCACTAAGTATGTGTAGAAATGATTGATTCATTTCTGTTGGATGTTGGAGCTTCACTGTGGACTTTTTTCACATTTATTTCCTGGAGGGGGAAGTTTCTCTGTGTTTACCTTAAAGTTGAGTTTAAGATGTATGAGGATTCAGGATTTTGAGATATCACAACTAGTTTGGAAGCCAGGCATGGTTCAAGTGTGATGTGGAAACTTGAAACCTCTAGAGCACATCCACTGAGAGTAGATGTTTCAGTGAAGAAGGAGACCTCTTGTGTCCAGCAGTCCATCTTCGGAAATGACAGATATTTTACAATGAAGGAGACGGAGTAGATGTAATTTCAAGGATTTACTTGTGAGGTAGGCTAATTGAAATTATTTTCTGGAAAAACATCAGACACAGTAGGGTGTGTCTAAGTGCGTAACTTGGATTAATCTGATTTGAAATTCTGTGGTACTACACGCAAATGGAGGACATTTTATTTGAGAGGTATGCTGTCTGTATGCCTTATGAATTTGAGATTGTCTCACCAGTAGAATATACACAGATTAAATTTTTGGGGAGCAGTGAACAAAGTTGTGGACAGGATTGTTCTACAGGTGGAAGAGCATTTCCCCTCTGCCAATGTGTAGTGTTCATTCACTAGTTCATTTTTTTGTAGTTTTTCACACACCTGAACTTCAAGGTATTGCGACATATTTGTGCATATCAACAAGTGGCGCAATGTAAACAGCTGGATCAAGTTTATACCTGACATGTGCCCTTGTCTGTACCTTCCTTCAGCTCTGCATCTTTTCTCACGCTACTCACCCATTTGTTCAGGAGGTTGCACGATATTGGCAAGCAGGAACTGAACACAGTTGAAGCTTTCCTCTTACACTCAGCCAAGAGGAATGTAGTCCTCTCTTTAAATGTCTCCGTTGCTGATGGGAAGACAGATAATTAAACTTAGAAACTTGAGTCTTGCTCCTTACAGTGGAGGTCTAGTGCAGGATGAATGTGTCGTTCTCACAGAGCAGATTTGTATATAGTATGCGATATGCATGGCTGTACATGTGCATGTTATGTAGCCAGAGGAAGCCCTTTGACCATCTCAGATTGAGCAAATACATGACACATGCACACATGTATGTTGGATCCCTGTTACTCAGTGTGGCTCTGTATCATTTCTGTGTTGTTTGTTTGACCAGGGTTTCACATGAGAACAGCTAAAGGTTAAGTTATTAAGTTACTAGAGAAATGAAAAACATATACACTACCGATCAAAAGTTTTTGGAACAACTCCATCTCTCCAGTTGTTACTGAAATATAGTGTAATGTCTCAGTGTACTCTGAAATTATATATTATATATATTTATATATATATATATGTATATAATTATTCATATATAATAAATATTTAAAGACTCATCCAGCAGCCAAACTCACATGTGACATTCTTTCTACAATGAAAATGAAACGTTTGGAAAGCTCGTCCCAACACCGTTCCCACAAATGTGTTGCACTTGTTGCTTTGCTTTCCCCTTCTGTCCAGTTCGTCCCAGAGCATCTGGTTCTTTTCTTCTAATGGTACTGGTCATTATCTTGCTGTAGGATGAAAGCAATATACAGTACTACTTCCTGTAGTACAGTATTGTCTTAATTTGAGGTTGTAGTAACACAGTTTGTTCCAACACTGCCTTTGTACAGACAAGGAGTTTGAAAGTCACCTGTAGGAAGTTTTCTTCCACAGCTACAGGAAACTGTAAATTAACCAACTTCTTAAATCCATGAAAATGGCCTGTTTTCTATGAAATTGACATGATTTTTCAGTTTTCTTTTTTGGACCTAAACAATTTTTTTCGCTGAGCTTGCGCTGCTGAAATTTCAATAAAAACTGGAAAAATGGGGGTGTTCTAAATCTTTTGACCAATAGTGTATGATAAGTATCTTTACTTGCATTTTGATCATCAGAGTTCCACCAGAGAGAATGAAGATCGTTCAAGCTGTAAAACAATTGAGATTGAGAAAGACTTTACATCACAGTAGTATAATGTAATAGGAGTTATGAAATCAGGTGTTTGAGTCACTTCTTTCTTGGGAGTGTGTGAGGAAATGGTTGTTGAGAGAAAGTTAGATTGTTTAAAAAATGTATCATTGATACTTGAGGTTTACAAAGCAAATTTAAAATCATTCAATTACTGTTGTCCTAAGCAACTGGTTTAAAGTCCCATTGTAAAAGTATTGATTAAATTTCTTTGCAAAGTAATTAAACAAAGATGGGCTGGTTTTAAGTCTTATATTCAAATGTGCAATAAATAAGTACAATAAGTTACAATGGCAAAAGCCACCATCTAAGATCATGTAGGGTGCTCCCGTCTCACATGAGTGTGTTCTTTATTTACCCAGCATGCCGCTGGCTCGCAGCCTGTCTGTCACGTCCCTCTCAGGACTGGAGGAGTGGGATGAGGAGTTTGATTTGGAAGATGCCGTCCTTTTTGAAATTGCCTGGGAGGTCGCTAACAAAGGCAAGTGTTTGGTAGTGTGTGCATTTGTGTGTGGACTTCCTCTTAAAAGTTTTGAAACAAACATTTAAAAATAGTATTTCTCATTTCTTGTTATCTTATTTACACAGGTTATTCCTGTTTTTATGAGAGACCAATCATCTTAATATCTCATGTATATCGATACACATATATATATATATATATATATATATATCAGGCTGAATAACATTATATCTTTGTCTCCACTTTGTGTGCGTACGTGTGGCATGTTTGCTGCATGTTTGAAGTTGGAGGCATCTACACTGTCATCCAGACCAAAGCCCGTCTGACCTCAGAGGAATGGGGGGAGAACTATTTCCTGGTGGGTCCCTATGTGGAAAGCAACGTGCGCACTCAGGTGGAGCTGATCGAGCCCACCAACCCCGTGCTGAAGAGAACCATTGACAAGATGAACTCCAGTGGGTGTAAGGTACTACCACACGAACACAGTAAACACACACATCTTCTGAGTTAAATTTGTGTTACACTCAAGGACATAGAGAGAGAGTTACAGTTATGGAGAGACATTTGTGAATACATGCGGTGAATGTGCACTACACTTAAAACCCATTTAGAGATCTTCCTTAGCCTCTCTTTTATATCTGACCCACTCGCCCTCTGCTCAGCCTTCTGTCCCTGCCCACATCTCCAAACACCGTGACATTTCCTTGCAAAGGTTAGAGGTTGTATCAATGTCTCTCTGTCTCTTACTCTTTCACACAGACACACTCCAGAAATAGATGACTGCCAGTGTGTGTGTGTGTGTGTGTGATACTTTTAATGCTTTGTGCTGTGTCACTCTGGGAGTGCTGTGGAATTATGGGTCAAGGCTTGGAGTGGTAGTGATTCTATTTTAAAGGGATAGTGCAGCCTTTTCAACACAGCCTGCCTAGATTACCTCAAATCACACAACCTATAAACTCCACTACAGGCCAGCACCAGAGCACAATTAGTTGGGCTGAAAATGCCAACTAATTTTCTTAAAAGACAAATCCTGTATGTTAAACTTGTCAATTCCACTTTAGTCAGCTTTAAGCCACATTCGTTTGCTGCGATTCTGTATCAACAAAACAAAACAAACGTATGTAACTACTAAATGTAACTTTGAATGAATGCAATGTCATTTTTGCATCAAACAAAAAAGTAGGAGTTGCTGTTACAGCTGCAACTCTTTAACTTAAAAGATTTCAATGGTTTGTACTATTTTTGTTGTAAAATGATAAGCCATTTAACTTTTCCCACATAATAGAATTAAATTAGTCATTTTAAAGAGTAAAAAATATGCCTTCATCCATGGTGAGGTGTCGCATTAAGTAACTTTTCTGCTTCGCATTCTTTCATTTCATTCATTCATCCCCCACACAGGTCTACTTTGGGCGCTGGCTTATTGAGGGCAGTCCCTACGTTGTTCTGATTGATGTCGGCTTCACTGCGTGGTCTCTGGACCGCTGGAAGAGCGAGCTTTGGGATCTTTGTGACATCGGCGTGCCTTGGTTCGACCGTGAGGCCAACGACGCTGTGCTGTTCGGCTTCCTGACGGCCTGGCTTCTGGGAGAGGTCAGCAGCTTCTGCTGAGTGCCTCGCAACTAAAAAAAAAACGTGCATAAACATGAAATTAAAGCTGTGTTGTGTGTGTGTTTGTTGTTCACATTGACTCTGTGCTCTCCCATATCACAGTACGCAGCTCAGAGTGAGGAGCCTCCACACATCGTGGCTCATTTCCATGAGTGGTTGGCTGGCCTGGGCCTAGTGTTGTGTAGACATAGACAGCTGCCTGTCGCAACCATCTTCACCACTCACGCTACACTGCTGGGACGATACCTGTGCGCTGGAAATGTGGACTTCTATAATAAGCTTTCAGAGGTGTGTGTGAGTATGTTTACATATTCACAAATTTTGGAAAGGATAGATAGGTGCACTACATATAATGCCACAATAAATCCATAATCAAACAAGTAATTTTTATTCTTAAACATGTAGTGGATTATGTTTTCAAGAACAAATCAACCTCATTATACTCTCTGTTGTCTTTGTGTCTTGTTCAGTTCAACGTGGATAAGGAAGCGGGCGACAGACAGATCTACCACCGCTATTGTTTGGAGCGGGCGGCTACTCACTGCGCTCACGTTTTCACCACTGTGTCACAAATTACAGCCATCGAGGCAGAGTACCTGCTCAAGAGGAAACCAGGTGTGTGGAGGTGAATTGATGTATGACATTAGAGAAGAGGCTCCCTTGATATCTCACTCTCTTCTTATTTATCACTGGTCTCGCTAAACATGGATATAATGTATTTCTCACCACTTTTTTACTGACGGTCTGAATTAGTATCTGCCATATTTTGCATTGAACGCCCTTCATCTCTCCCATCGTGCACAGACATTGTCACTCCCAACGGGCTCAATGTGAAGAAGTTCTCAGCCATGCACGAGTTTCAAAACCTCCATGCCCAGAGCAAGAATCGGATTCAGGAGTTCATCAGGGGACACTTCTATGGGTGAGCGACCCTGCAACACACTTCACAGTATCACAACACTGCCTAGACTGTAGCAGCATGTTGAGGGAGGATAAATGTCGAACATTGGTGAAATAGAGTAAATAATAAAAGTCAATCTTATGTTATATGTATATTGTGTGTATGTATATGTTGAATTTACCAGGAAACACCTTCTTCCTAATGTCCTGTCAAAATCTTAAAGAACCAAAATAGGGATAAGTAAATTGTAAGTGTAAGTGCTACACTGATTTTGGATTGTATTCATCAGGCACCTTGACTTCAACCTGGACAAGTGTTTGTTCCTCTTCATAGCTGGAAGGTATGAGTTCTCCAACAAAGGAGCTGATATCTTCTTGGAGGCTTTAGCAAGACTCAACTATCTGCTGAGAGTAAGTGTGTGTTGGTGTTATCGTGTCAACAGACGTAGTAGAAGCATTTATGTGTTTGTGTGTGAGAGGGAGGGAGGGAGGAGAAAGGTGAATACCGAATTTAACTCAATATTTCTGTGTGGTCTACCTGTCGCAGGTCAACCACAGTGATGTGACCGTCATCGCATTCTTCATCATGCCAGCTCGGACAAACAACTTTAATGTGGAAACCTTAAAGGGCCAGGCAGTCAGGAAGCAGCTCTGGTGAGGTTTCTTCTTATGTTAAACAAGGCGAGGCATCGAGATGAAGCATCTAAGTAAAAGTTTAGATTGTGATTCAGACAGGCAGACAGTGCTACACTGACCCATCCATACTGAGACAGATATTGATCTCTCTTCATCATCAGACACTTTGACTTTTATCTTATTATACTTGCATTCTCTTTATCTTTGTCTCTGACAGGGATACTGCTCAGACTGTGAAGGAACGCTTTGGAAAGAAACTTTATGAGTCACTTCTGGTGTAAGTTGAACACTGTCGGTCCACTTCATGAAACCTGTAAGATATTGAATAATCTGTCTTATCAGAGCATCAAATTAAAACTATCAAAGTACACATAAAATCCATATGTTTCACATCAGGCCATCAAATGTTCTTAGATTCTGTATAAAATGTGGACTCAGTATCAACATTGTTGAAATGGTACTTAATGTGTAACAAACTGATGAAGTTTGATACACAGATACATGTCTTACACAATAAAGTCCAAAATAATCAAGTTTTAGTTATAGCAGTATAGTATATACTAGTATAGTAGTATATTAGTTTCCTTTCATCATGAGGTCTAAAACACTTTGTTTAATTTAGTGGGCAGCTGCCAGATGTGTCAAAGATGCTGGACAAAGAGGATTTCACCATCATGAAGCGCGCCATCTTTGCGACTCAGAGACAGTGCCAGCCTCCAATCTGCACTCATAACATGCTGGAGGACAGCAGTGACCCCATCCTTAACTGTGTCCGCCGCATTGGCCTTTTCAACAGCTCTGCTGACCGTGTCAAGGTATGTCAGTTGGTAGTGCATAAAAAAATTATCACAATGGCAACCCTGAGGATTTCCTCTCAACTCTTTAGGTATTTGTGTTTTTTTTTTTTTAACAGTTGGAGACACACTCAACACAGCTAATAATCATCATTCAATAATCATTCATTTTTCAGTTCAATAGCTTGCTAATCACACTATTTGTTATGGTAAATACTATATACTATAACAGGCTCTGATAATGAATGGTTTCTCCATCTGTTAGATAATCTTCCATCCAGAGTTCCTTTCGTCCACCTCTCCTTTACTTCCAATGGATTATGAGGAGTTTGTAAGAGGCTGCCACCTTGGTGTCTTCCCCTCTTACTATGAGCCTTGGGGCTACACACCTGGTATGACTCACACATGCTGACAAGTTATATGCACGTGAATACATGTATGCATAATATTAAAATGTTAATCGGGTCTCACTGCCTCTGTCATTTCCAGCTGAGTGCACAGTCATGGGAATTCCATCTATCTCAACTAACCTGTCAGGCTTTGGCTGCTTCATGGAGGAACACATAGCAGACCCCTCAGCCTATGGTGTGTTTCTTGATACATTATCTTTTTAATTCTCAGTTATTCTTAGAGATTTCCTTAAAAGGGTAAAGAGGGATAACTGGTGCTTACTTTAATGTCATGCTGTTTACCTTTTGCAGGTATTTACATCCTGGACAGGCGGTATCGGGGGATCGATGAGTCGTGTAACCAGCTCACGTCCTTCCTGTTCCAGTTCTGCAAGCAGAGCCGGCGCCAGAGGATCATCCAAAGGAACAGGACTGAGCGCCTGAGTGACCTCCTGGACTGGAGATACCTCGGCAGGGTGAGATTACAAATCCCAAAGATGAATTTTATTCACGTGACATCTTTGAAATGAATTAATCTTGTTTCTTCTTCTATTCCACACTAGTATTATATAGCTGCTCGTCACATGGCCCTGGCTAAAGCCTTCCCTGACACTTACTTATATGAACCTCATGAGCCTACCTCAGTAAGTTAACTTGTGTGTCTTTGGATGGGAGACTTACTTAACATTATTTATTGCATTCATGGAAGTCAAATCTTTTCATAAACAGTTGAATGCCTTCGTTCTCATCCTCAGACCTCAGGCTTCCGTTACCCCCGACCTGCCTCTGTGCCGCCATCTCCAGCTCTGTCTCGCCACTCCTCCCCCCACCACAGCGAGGCTGAGGACAACGACGAAGACGAACGCTACGACGAGGATCTGGAGGCAGAGAAGGACCGAGTGAACATCCGCCAGCCCTACACCCCGCCATTCAAAAACAAGTCTGTCCTCGGGGCCAACGGGAACAGCAACGGTGTTATAAGCGAGAAAAACTGAGACACACACAGACACACACATACAGTACATACAGTACATGCTAAACCTCACTAGTAAAACCTTATCTTGTGGAAATCGTTACAGTCATCCATACTCACAAACTTTATAAATGAGTGCAGATGTGAATGGGTGTGATAAATTTAATATTGGCTTGTTGTGAAAAATTGCATCACTGTCAGTGTCTTCCCAACCTGTGCGTTCCTCAGAATTTTTAAAAGTTTGATATGTTTTGGTTTTCTTTCAGTAATACCAGCAGTGCAACCAGTGGTTCGCTTTGTGGAGTAAATGCAGCAGCTAGAAAGGGCTAAACGACAGCTCATCATGGATAAAACAAAATCAGGATTGCTGGATTTTGTAGAGTACTAACACTGGATAACATAGGTCTAAAGCGTTGAAAAAAAATAACTCTGGAGGGGGTTTTTATACTTGATTCAAAGGGTCAGAGCAGGGAAAACAGCATAACCCTCCTTTTTACCAGCATGTCATCTTTACATTCAAAGCAGGTTCAGCTACTTCTAGCTAAAAAATGCCCATGAAAAGACGGTGTCAGTTGCTGTGAGTAGCCACAAAGTATCACGTATTCTTTTTACTGTATGGCTTAAAAGTGTGATATTGACCTTATTGTAGCATTTTTTTCTGCCTTGTTTACTACAAAACTTCCCAGAATGGAAATAAAGTGTAAAACACATACACACAACAACAACAACAACAACAACTTATGGCATGAATAGTGTCATGTGTGTGTTTTCATTTTGTTTCTGTGCCTTATTTTAATCACAGCCTTTCAGTGACGATCATTGATAAACAACCTCACACTTCTGTTAATCCTGTATGTCTGTGTGTGTGCTTTTGTGGAGATGGATATTTCTAGGTTCGCCTGTTCCGGCAAGTATTTATTTGTGAAAGAAAAAGAGATGAGACAGACAGAGGAAAAAAGGGACTGTGTTCTGTGATGGCAACCATGTTTTCAGGTGAAAGATATGAGAGAGCTAAAGTACGTCTTGACTGTTTGTTATGGAAGAAGGGAAAATGGTCTTACCAGGCATATACTCACACTCCCTGTAATAGTTTTATCATTTGTTACAGTCCTGCACCAGATGAACTTATAATAAAGTTTAAATATATAATATACCTGTTTGTGCTTTACAAATGGTAACTGGCTCTTCTTTCTTTGTGTGCATGCACTTTATTAGAACACATATCCAGGGGTTTTCAAATTCTCAGTGACATACTGACCCACTGATCCACCATCCACACAACTTATCCAACATAAACCATCTAATGTACCAGGAATTTCGCAGTGGATTCTCTTCCTGTGTTGTAGGTTAGCCTCCGGAGTCCTCACCTGCCTCAACACAAGTAGACTCGGCCCCCGTGACCTTTGCAAACTGAGAAGAACAAGAAAGTAAAGGTTAAAACCAGAATCTCAATTACATGGCACTTATTTACACACACACACAAATTCAATTCTTACTTTTAATCTGTTTATTTTATCACAGATTTGGAATAAGGAAAGTAACTAAAAAGTCAAGTATTGTATTTAAGAACAATTTTGAGGTATGTGTACATACAATTATACTACATTTATTTTAAAGCTGAAGTTACCAGTTACTTTTTAGATTAATATTTAATTTAAAAACAAATGATAATATTATAAGGGGCTATGTATCGTTAAAGATTTAACCTTTTTGTTTGTGACCCCTTACAAAAAAACAGTGTCTGGTTGGGGCCTTTGTCACATTTCGGATGTCTAAGACCTGTTAGCAGTGTTCACCAAAGACATTTCCCCCCACAACCTCCGACTGCTTCATTTAAAAAGGTTTTTTTTTTTTTTTTTTAAAAAAAGGGAGAAAGTATTCAAATTTGTGTGGGAGAACTTTATTTTGTTTCCAACCCTCTTAATCATCTCATGATCCCTCAGATTTATCTTCTGACCATCAAGAGGAGGAGGAGGGAGACCAACTAGACTAAAATACTTCACTGAATATAAAATAGTAAAAACTAGCCACAATGGTAAAAAGTTCTCCTTATAACTTGATGCATGATTATTAACAATCTAAAAATTTAATATACAATAACATATCAGTCACAGGAGCCATTTTCTGCAGTAAGTACTTTTACCTTTGATACTTTAAGCATTATTACCATTTACTGTTAGCATTAGATTTTGATATCAGGACTGGTACATTTACTTAAGTAAAGGATCTGAGTACTTCTTCTACAGCAAAGCTACAGCTGGCAAAAAATTTCAGTAGAGGAGGAGCACTTATTCTTTTCAACCCTCCCTACCCTAGTTCAGAACTTTTGCTTGTTTGAAACAGTAAAAACTATTACAATGACGAAGAGGTGCCTTGTTGTGCTTTACATCAGGATCTTTGAGAAAGTGTTTGAAACAATACACTGGACTCACCGAGTAAACTATTCCAGAAGGAGTTGTATGTTGCACTGCCAGTTACAGCTCCGAGTCTGGCTGGGTTCCTCCTCACTGTGTGTACTGAGAAGCCGTCAGGCCCAGTCACCTCCACCTCCACCACATGATAATCACTCAACCTGTGGCATAAAGAGGTATGAGAGTGGATAATTCAAGCAGATGTGAAAGGCTTCGTCAAGTCAACCTGATTTTTAGTGAGACTCACGCTGTGTCAGACACAATCTCTCCCTGAACACCAGTAAAGCCGAGTGTTCCTGCTGCCACTGCTGCTGCTGCCATAGTGTTAACGTTGTTAGGAGCAAGTGGACACAACTCTGCCACTGAGCCTCTGAATAAAACCCGTCTGCCCTCTCCCTCCGTCCAGTGTGAGAGGATGTCTCCTGTCAGCCGGAAGCAGGATGGATGCTTGGACATTCTTATAAACAACGCCTACGCCAGAGAGAAGTTCAATCAGAACACAGTAATGATGACCAGAGACACTGACATGTTCTGTAACTCAAGCAAAAACAAAATCGAGTCAATACTGATGCTATTCAAGCCATTTTCATCTACAGAGCCGAAGTGAAAACAAAGCAGCTCACAGTCTAAACTTGCCTACTTGCATGCCAACTCCACACCGTACTAGCCCAGTGTTACCTTTAAGGCTCCACTATCATTGAGCCTCTGGATGTCCTGGCCTCCCCATAATGCACCACTGGGGACGTAGAGTGTCCTACCATACTGCTGAGCTGCTTGACGCAGCCTCTTGTTCAGATCAGCATCAGAGAGGGCAGAGGGAGAGCCCACCTGAGAGGAGGAGAAATAAAGGTATAAAACAGGATAAAACTATGATTAACCATATTGCGTGTTTTTATTTACTTAGTTTATTTAGCACTCACGAATTTAAACATCAGGGTTTAAAGTGGAAATATGTCAACATAAATTTTTACCAATAATCATGCATAGATACTGAAGATAATGAAGCCAGCATTGCTACCATGGAGAAACACATACCTTATCAGATACTGTAGTTGCCATAATATATTAGAAATCCCTCAAATATACCAAACCATTTAATAATGTTATCTCCTCATTAGAGTAGACCAGTGAAAGACCATTAAAACACCTTGTCATCTGCCTTACTCTTGTAGGAACATAAAAAGCAAAGACTGCAGATTTATCAAGGCAAATTGATCTGTCTCAATATTAAATACAACAAAATCCCTCACAAACATTGAGTTTTATATAAAAAACTGTTAATACAGAGTTTTTTGTTTAGAAAAATAAATCAATAAATTGCTTTTGCACTCAACTCCCATACAAACAGATGAGATGCTCACCATGAAATGAGACTGAGACAGGAAGTGAAGCCCAAATTCTTTCACTATCTGAGGATGGCACACTTCTACTATCACATCACATCGCCTGTAAAGCACAGTGTTTAGTCTTAGAAAGATGTCATGCAGCATTAGACACATGTTGTCTGTATGGTAGTACTGTGTTTTGCATTTGAGTTTTTTTTATTGCAGTGTTTGTGTGTGTGTGTGTGTGTGTGTGTGTGTGTGTGTGTGTGTGTGTGTGCGCACCTGTCTGCAAAAGATGATAGATCACCAAGTATCAGTTCGTCAGGGACTAAACCTTTGAGCTTGTCAGAATTTCTGTTCCAAACAAAAGCCAGAGTGAAACCAAGAGCAGCTCCATCTTGAAGGATCCTCTTCACCAGGTACTGTCCTAAAACACACACACACGAATGCACACACGAATGCACGCACGCACGCACACGCACGCACACACACACACACACACACACACACACACACGCAGATTGTTGATATGAGGAAGGATTCATGAATTTAAGCAAAGTATTCAAAGAGTGTGTGTCTTGGGTTTGGAGGGGAGCTCCAACCTAGATGTCCATATCCTACGACTCCAATCCTTAGGGAAGAAGAGCTGGTTGCCATGTCCTCTGCAGAGGAAGCAAACATGCTGATAAAAGCAACTGCAACATACTTTCATATCTCATCTCCCTCAATCTCCTCTTAACCAATCTAACATATCGTCACTACATTTATTGCTCTACTCACTTGATAATCCCACACGCTTCCGGAGCTGTGTGTCTCCCAGCTTGAAGCACAACTACTGGCCCACGACTCTAAGAATTATGGGAAAACACAGTACAAAGTTTGACTCAGAGAGGCCACGGTTAATTATTGTCTGTTCTTCTGTCTGTGGAAATATCTCATGCAGGGCTCCTCCTCCATTCATTTAAACAATTTCAGTTTCAGATACATTCAGAGTCAGTTGTAAAGTGTAAGAAAACTAAACATGCACAATGCAACTGTGTGCTTCATTTCAAGAAAAATCAAATATATTGCTTTATGTCTAAAGCTCTGTTGTTGCACAGATTGTTTTCTATTAGAACATCATGCGGTGTGGCTCTTTCCTTTTTGGAGAAACGTGAAGCAGTGTGGCCACCTAGTGAACATAGGCAATGCAATGTGAAATTCATTTTTTAATCTTTTTAAAATCAATTTTTGATCACAACCCCTACAAATGAGTCATATATTACATATTACACAGATACTGACAAATAATCCTAAAGTTCAATTGTAAAGAAAGAAACCATAACCAGATGTGACAGTGCGCCATACACAGTTATTTACCCAGTTCAACTTTGCCCTTCAAGTGTTGATGTCACCAGTGTATTCCACCTGGACAGGTCAAAGGTCAGCTGTTTGCCCATGAGAACTCAAAACAGGGAGAACATTGATTATCAGAGAGCAATCAGACAGCAAGGATCAGACCAAAGTTCATTGCTGTGAAATACCAACAGACCGAGACTGGGAGACGCTGCAGGGATTCGAGACAAGGGGAACAGGAGAACAACACAAGAACACTGAGGATTATATGTGTTGGTAACCGAGAAGAAAATACAAGGTGCTTAACAAGACAGGTTCATCCAACTGAGACATCTGTGAGAACCCACGTCAGTGCTGAATCTGAGAAGATGGACATCCTTGAGACAGATGCCTATGACAGGAGGCAAAAGAGAAATATGGTACCTGAAAACCATTTACTGCTACTTCAGAGTTATTTATGTTACTTACTACAACCTTTTCGACAAGAATTAAATTGTCTAAAATCATCATCAATCTAGAAAATTCAAGTTGGAACATATCTCCGCCTTTCTTTCTTCTCCTCCCTCTCTGTCAGTCCTGTGCCCTGCTTTTCTCCCTCTTGCCTTTCTTTTTGTCCGCAGCTCTGTATTTCTACATGTGGACTCCAGACTCGCCCATGTCCATCATGTCCGCAGGTGTGAAATCAGCACCAATCCTGCTATTGGCTGCAGCAGTGCTGAGTTGGAATGGAGGTCAGAGTGTCCTGGGAGTTGTAGGAGGACTGCTCTTCTCTGCTCTTGGTGACTGTTGCTTGATATGGCCTGAGCTTTTTCTGCACGGTAAGAGCCTAGTTTGTACAGGAGTGAAGCACAAATTTTATAGAAGCAAATTACAATACAGTAGACACCATTTTCTCCATTACTAGTCACTAGTTATAACAAAAGCTGTAATTAATTTATTTTGCTCATTTGTTTTCGTATATCCTCAACATGTCACACATCTGTTTCAGGAATGGCTGCATTCGCTGTGGCTCATCTGATATACTCACTCACCTTCCTCTCCAGTCGTTATTCAACATATTCCTCTTCCTCCTGGACCCGTTTTCTGTATTTGATCCTGTTCATTATAGGAGGAGGTTTCTACATCTACCTATATCCATTCCTGAAGAAGGCACCAGACTCAGATCTACTAGTTCCAGCAGTGGGGGTCTACGTATTCTTAATCACTCTTATGGGGACATTAGCTATTAGAACTGGCCAGGCAGCAACACTGTTAGGAAGTTTGACCTTCATGGTGTCTGACATCGCACTGGCTCTGCAAGTTTTCAAGGTGACGGCACCAATGGAGCATAGCCATGTCATTGTAATGGTGACATATTATTTGGCACAGCTACTAATCGCAGTGGGTGATATAAAGGCAGTTGAAAACAATGATGACTTCTCAAAATGGAAGAGGTCCTAAACAGCATCTCTGGGGTCTGAACAATCCTCCTCACATGTACTTATTTGATGAAATCCTAATAATACAACTGAGTACTTCCTGTATGTGTTGGATTTTTTTTTTAAAGAACCCATCAAATAAAAGGAAAAGAGATAAAAACAACAAGCACAGTTCTCCGACTGGTGCACTACTTCAAAGATTCACAACCGGGAAAGATGGAGAAAAAGAGCATCTTGCAACACAAGATACATTATTATGAGTTTCCTGTTTGTATTTCATATTTCAATTATCACACTGGTAGTCATATTTTGTAACATTTTAAAACATCACACATCTACAAACAAGACTGATAGAAACTCAGTGAATATCAGTTTAGAATAACATCTGTATTCTCCAATTTGAGAGAAAATGTTTTAATCAGTGATTTGGACATCCATGTTTTTGTGTAGGTTGTGCATGTGGTGGTGATTGTTTTCCACTTGTCAGCTGGCCATTGTATGTATATAAATACCATTTGGTTTGTTAATAATAAATAAATATGGTGTAAAAAAATAAAAAAATAACAATGTCTGTAATTCTGAGCCATGTTTTTAGAGACAAACAACTGAAAGTAAATGAAAATACTTTAGCTCAGAGACAATTCAAATAGTGGATACTATATGTACTACCTGTAATGGAGATGCTTGGTTTTAGAAGATATGAAGAACTGAAAGCACTGGACTGAAATGACTGGAAAAAGTATTTTATACATTACAGTTATTTACACAGTAAAATCCAGCTCCTGGAGTACATGCAAAATATGGACAGTAATTGTCATAACAGAAAAGGACGTTGCTTAACATCCATGATCCAGGTCATCAAACATCTTCTGTTACATCTTACACTAATACTAAAACAGGTGAGGAACATAAGACTTCAGCGATCCATCCCATTGTCATCTGACTGCTGCCCGCGAAAACACATTACCCTCAAGCGGTCACAGAAGTCCAGTTCTTCCTGCGGTAAACAAAAATGTGACTTTAAAAGATGTTTCCTGGACAGGGATTAAGCCTATACTATGAATATCTTTTGACCAATATTTTGGTTTATTAATTTGGTTAAATATTGGCCTTGAATTTTCAACCACTAAAGCTGCAGTAGGCAGTCATTTTTTGGTGTCAATGGGCAAATCACCTTTCAGCATATTGTAATTCAAGTGGTCTGAGAGCAAAGTACATGCCTGCACCTCCTCCTGGCTCTGTTTTCATGCATTAGAAAATTTAGCCCATGACGAGACTTTCACCAATCACAGGTCTTTTTAGAGCGAGAGAGAGTGTTCCTATCGGCTGCTCTACAAATGCAGATGCGTGTGCACGTCTCATCAGATAGATATGTGTCAATAATAGTGAATTGTTTCAGAGATGGAGTGAAATTGCTGTACTTCTCCTGGACAGGTAACAGTCTGCTAACTTCATTGGCCTGTAATTTCTAAATGTGTTGTAGTGGTTGTTGTATTTTGCTAAAGGCTCAGTATAAACTACCTGACTTTCTTCCTTTCCTTGGAGCTCTCTGGCTCGCTGTCTGAGTAGCTCCTCCAGACCCAGAGCAGGATTCATGCAGTCTTTGAGCCCCTGTGGACAGTCCTCCACCAGACTAGACACACATAGAAACAAGGATGACCATGATTACTAATGTGAACCATGAATTAATGTAAACTTGTCAGTGCTGAAGACTGAAAGACTGGCAGTGTTTCTTACCAACACAAGGCACCAAGCACATGCTCATGAAAAGGTGAGTGAGGTGTGCGGAGAACAGATACCAGCTGCTGTACCATACCCATGGAGACAACTGTGTCTGCAGGAAGCAGGAAACAGGGTTTAGATATATCAGGCACACAATGAATAAAGCATCAGCATCATCAGTTCAGGAAAGAAGCAATCTAACATTGTCAGTGCTACCATTCTTAACAAGGCAAAGTCTGACTGACTGGAAAAACATCACTTAAACACTTAATGTTTATGTCTGAGTGAGGGATACAGTGTAGCTTAAGTGTGGTATTATCAGTGTAGGGGTGAATAGGGCTGAAAGTGAGCATAGATAGGGATTGTACCAGAATGCTGTTGTGGCACAATTTGGTGTGATCTATTCCATTAACTGCATGGCTCTCTTTTTTATCTACATTAAACTAGGAAATCTTCATTGAAATTAAAAATGGCTTAGAAATACAGCATTAACAATGTGTTACAAACAAACAACATAAGACAGAAAACACAAAATATGCCACAAAAATCAAACAAATGCAATCATGAATAAAATAAAAAACCTAAACTTAAAAACAACCTAAATGGCACCTTAAAACAACACAGGAGTGTCTAAAACCACAAAAATAACTACAGTCTACTCTGAATTACCCCAAAACATTAGCAGCCAGTAGATGATTTTAATTCACTAAGAGAATAGCTGACGACAAACAACATAGCTATTCACAGACTTTATATAATATAGATTCACATAGATGAATGTGTGCCAGTGCACTGATCTGGGGGAGGATAGAGTGAACCAGTTGGCCTGAGTGTATAAAGACCAGTGATATGTGAGAGCTTTACTATTACGTTATTAAACTGGTTTACTGACACTACAAGCTGATGATCTTCTATAATTAAACTGTAAAATGAAGAACCGTGTCCTTCACCGCCAAAATGGAGGTCCCTTTCTAACAACAGCTAGAGAAGATAAAAGCAGAGATCAGTTTTATTTTCTAAGCTCATTTTTATTCATATTTAGTTGCTTTTTACTACTGATTGCAAGGTTGAAGGACTGTATGATGGTCTGACTATCATCTTTGGGGCTTTTTGATTGCATTATCACATTATCTGCTTAGTATAAAAGGCACTGTGCAGTTTAAATGCCTCTCTCATTCATACCTTTCTGTTCAGGATGTGACGTGAGCAGGTTGAGCAGAAGGAAAGCTGACTTGGTCCTGACCTTCTCATTCTCAGACTGCATGCCTCGCATTAACACTGAGAAACCATCATGGGAGAGGAAAGCCTGGAGACCTGTCTCCTGCTCTCGGACCAGACCTAAAGTCACAACAGGATACAGTTACAGTTTTATTCTGAGATGTACTGCATGCTGAATGTCAGCCTGCATGAATGCAGACAGCATTTCAATTTAGTTTAAATGTTAAATGGTAAATTGTTGCAGCACCGTCTACCTGTGAGTTAACTTGAGATACTCACATGAGACAGCATAAAGGGCTTTTACTCTGACAGTGGGGTGGGGGTCTGAGTCCGTCAGCTGCAGCAGCTTTGGCAGTGCCTCCATGCTAAGCAAGTGTTCCTGCACTTGGGGCATGTTCTGTGCACAGGAAGCGATCAGCTGGGCAGCACGCCACCTTAGCCCACTTTGGACATGACACAGATACTTGGAGAGGCACAACTCCAGCCCACCCAGAATCATTAGGTCTGTGAAGCAGAGGAAGAGAGGACAAGTTCAGGACAGAGAAAACAAACTGCATTTGTACTTATTACCTCCGTATAGCCACTCCAGGTTATATCAAATATCAAATACAATACCATTTAATACAAACCTCTAGCATTGTCCAAGTTCTCACACAACTCTGACAGCATCTCAAAGGCTGATTCTCGCTCATCTTCATCCTCCTCTTCATCCCTCTCCTCCTCTCCCTCTCTCTCACTTTCACTCATTCCCTCTTTGCATAGGACTGCCAAGCACTGCTTCATCTGCTCCACTTCATCCATTGGCCCTTTGCAAACTTCTGCAAGAGCTTCTCTCAGCCATGTTTTCCTCTGGAACAAAGGAGCGTGATAATGTTTCTCAATTACCTTTGATGCAAGGTGGTGGTCATTATGGGTCCAAATAAAATTAAAAAAAGTACTCAGGCAATCATAACTGTCTCACCCAAACCTATCTTTTTAAAATCAAATTAAAGAGTAACTGATCTAGGCCTAAATGGACTTCATTTTGGAAAGGGGTTGATTTCAGAGGAAGTAATGGATGACGACAGAATAGCTGTCTTTTACAATTTCCCACAGACTGAGTTGCCATATTCAAATAGCTTATTTTGGCTGACCATTATCAAGAAAACCAAAATATATTCAAATTTGGGGGGAAAGTGTGAAACCGGTGAGTTAAAGCAATTAATAAATTATCTAAATAATAGCTGATTAATTTTCTGTGAATTGACTAACTGTTTAAGCTCTACTCATCTATAACATATTCTATATATACTGTCAAGTACCATCATAATGTTAAGGAACACATGCTAGAATTTTCACTATAAAAAAAAACAAAAAAAAAACATGTTACATGTCTTTATCAAACTGCTCTTATGTCCTGAGGTGAACTCGGAAGTCTGGACCTAACAAGGTGTAATGTGTAGTATCTGCCCAAAGCCTTCTCAGGTTTGACATTTATAATGGCACTTACCTCCTCTGACATGGGTTCAACAGGGGTAGGTCCCTCTGCAGCTGATCCAGCCTCTACTGCCAGCTGCAGAACCCCCTGAAGATTTTGCGGATATCTTCTGTTCTGATTGTTTTCTGCCATGATGTGTACTGCTGGAAAAAAAAAAGTTGAAAAATGAGTGTGGATTTCAGAAACGTAGCAGTCAGCTTTTTGACTTAATCCACAAGTTTACCTGGCTCTACTCTGCTGAGGCTTAGCACTACTTCCAGGACAACAGTTAGGAACAGCTAATTAGTTTCCACCAGAGTTATACTAACTAACAAAAACAACATTAACACAGAGGCTTGACATATCTAACATGCTAGCATTAAAGATTCACACTTTGCTACGGATACCATTTAATGACGTTAGCAGAATTAGATTATTCTCAACTCACCTTTTCAAGAGTCCTGTACAAATGAGTTGAATAAATGGATACACGGGTTCTGCTTGATTTAGGAACAACTTTACTCCCCCTGTAAACACAGAAACATGAATATGCTAGAACATTCTAGCTAGCACGAGTGGCAAGGAGGCTGCCATTTTTTACCGTAAATGTTGAACTAAATCGGCATGCAAAAGGGTTTCTTTCCGTGCTCTTTTCTCTGCACAGGGTCATTTTTGTCCTCGCATTTCCTACGTCAATTTAGTCCTTCAAAAATTACAATATAGTACAACTGACAGCAGTACGACAACGTAATTTAAAAGTCACAACGGCAAGCTTGATCATATCAGCGTATTTAAGGTAAATCAGTGACGTTTGCACGAGCGACATTCAGAGACTATTAGTCAAAGTAAGAGAACTACCTCATAATAATCCCAGAAGAACCGTGTCAAATATGCAATATTATCTGTTACAATGTATGTGACAATTTACATGTTATTATCGCTTATTATTTTATATGTTAAAATACACGACTGATAAATAGTATAAAATTTCAACACCAATAATACCAACATCTTACTTCCTTATTTGGTATTAATCTCAACAACTTTAAAACTCTATTTTGCATCGACGTTTTGCTGCTTTAAGCAACAGCTTTGGAGTTGGCCGGATACTATCTTGGTCTCGATCATCTTTGGTTTGTCTAACCATTGAAGATGGCGGCGCTTGTGGGGTTGCGAGCATGTTTCTCCGGTAAAATTGTTTAATTACTTAATCTGTCTCTGTGTGCATTTCTGACAATTGTGG